GCGAGGGGTTCCATTCATGATCCGACTTTGCCCCTCAGTGGCGGGAGTAGGAACCTACCTTCCCTTAGTGGCGTGATCAAATTCGGGTCCTGGGGAAAACCCGTTTAGCTTGAAAGAAAAAACACGGCTTTGAATTGCAACACAAAACCCTCTCAAAAATGATTGGTGGACGTAGCTGCCGCCATATTTAGGAGTCAGGGCCCCAATTTTAAATTCCACACCCACCAGCTCCCCGCGATCTGAGGATCCGGGAATGTCCTTGCTCCTTCAAGCATCCAGGAACTTCATAGATGCTTTTGGCCCACATTTGCTGTGGAGCCTAAGAATTCACCTGCCAGAGAAGCGCCAGCTGAGGTCAAACCCTTGGTGTGCAATACTGTGGATGGTCGCGAAATCCATTTCGCACCACGAAATGAAGCCATGGTTGAAGCCATTGCTTGGCATTTACGTTGGGGAATGGAATCACTCCAGGTGAAACCATGGTTGACACCATTGCTTGTTGGCATTTACGGGGGAATGGAATCATTCCAGGGTTTCTGAACGGTGTGGGAAACCATTGCTTGGCATTTCCGTTGGGGAATGGAATCATTCCTGGGTTTCTGAACGGTTTTACAGGGGAGTCATGATTACCGGGTTTCTGAACGGTGGTGCGTTTTTATGGATCCTGCCCCCGGCCGCTTGCGAGGCCCTGGACGCGAGATTTCCTCAGGCCTCCAAAGCAGGCATCTTGGCCACCCCGACCTGTCTTGGCGATATTGAGAGCTGACCGGGTGTTATCGTGGTGTTTATGGGCGCACCGGTTATCGGCGATATTGAGAGCTGACCGGGTTTTGTCCTGGTGTTTTTTTTTGGGGGGCGCGAGCCGGAAGGCGCGTTGCAATTGCTTTCGCGAGCTGATGCTCCAGCACGGTGTCAGGCTTTTCACGTCAGACGAGACTATTTCATCATTTTCGCCTTTCACACGAAGCGGGATGAATTCTTGCTCTTCAACCGCGCGTACCCAGAGCTCAGGAAAGAACGGGTTGGGGGTATCCAAAAGCAGCCCCCCCAAACAAATAAATATAAAGCTGTCTTTGTGAGTCAGTTTGGGAAAACACATGAAAACACGGATGGGATCCGGTGTTTTCGGTTTGGTTCCATTCATTTGCCAGTGCCGTCGAAAAGGACAGCACAGGCTCACTTACAGTCTTCATACCCCGCTAGTTGACTCCTTGACCTTGTCCAAGGCATGCGCACTTTGAGATTTGCACACCAGAGACCCTATCCACGTAATGATGTCAACCGAAGCGTTGCTTGGAATTCATAGCCATATGAGCCACGGTCAAAATTGCTTGTTTCTCCACGACTCGGAGCCGGCTTGGGAAAGCTAGGGCTTGCCCCTGGTTTTGGTTTCCTCCATGATCCTTTCAATGGGTTTCCACCAGCACATGGGCCAACTTTTGAAGTGAGAACCAAGTGATCCCTGTAGCATGTATCCTCGCCCTTTGGTTTCAATCATCATCTGGTCCATAGGTGGCCTTGAGTCAGTTTAGTTGCACTTTGTCTTTGGGCCGAGCCTATTATGCGGCTTGATCAATATTCCTGGCCTTAACATGACCATGGGAAACGTTTCCCATTCAGTCCATTCAGTGGCGAACGTCGCCTTTTTTCGGCTCAAATAAGTGTACGAAAATCGGGCACCTTGGTTAATGAACTAAGACGAAAACCTGCATTTTTCTCTGGAGTCTCCATGACCCTTTAAAATTGGGTCAATGACCCCATTATTTTGGGGAAGGACCCCATTTTTAAAGAGTCATGGAGACTCCAGGTAGCTCTTTAATTTTGAGCCACACCCAACTGGTTACCTATAGTGGCTTGCCTGGAAGCACTGAGAGGCTACCTGCAGTTTCAGTTTCAGGTTCTGGTTTCAGAAATGGGGTGGTGGCCTCTGAAGCCATTTGCCAGGTAAAGCCGGTCGCCAGCCAGCAGAAGGCGCGTGGAGTTGCTTTCTCAACCCTCGCTGGGTTGGGGGCATGCAAGGAAGTCAAGATACTCTCTATGATAAATGTATATATATATATATTAATATATAAGCCATGGTTGTTGTTGGGAAACATTTTATATTTTTGTTTCTTGTGGTTTGGTTTAGTGGGAAATCCCCACTTAACTGCTAAAACAATAATTTTGCTCCCCTTCCAACGTCAACCGAGAAACGAGCCAGGACTCCGCTGCAGATGCTTTGGAGAACTGGGAGCCCCCGCGACTCGGCTGGAAGTATCTTTTTCGGTGCGTTTTGAGGCAAGCCACTGTTTGGTAGATAGCCACCTGGAGTCTCCCTAAGGACCCGAACTAAAAATGGTTGGTCATTGCCCAAAAAATGGGGTCATCTGACTCGATATAAAAATGGTTGGTCATTGCCCAAAACAAGTTGGTCATTGACCCATTTGGAAAGGGTCATGGAGACTCCAGGGAGGTGGGGATTACCAGATTTTCTGGTTACCTACTAGAATGGTAGCTGGAAGCAAGTCCGGGAGGCGATTCTTCCATTCGGTTGGGGGGAACGGCGCTTGTATGAAAATTCCTGGCCACAAGGAGCTTGCCACTTGCCCACCAAACGAACTCCCCACAAGAGGGGCGGAATCCCGATCTGCATGAAATAAGGGGCATACGTTGATGGCTCAGCTTCCGGCAGGTGTCACGCAAGTTCACGCAAGGGCCTGATGTCTATGGGCCACGTGGGAAGTTAGATCAATCCGTTTAGGGCCACCACATGACCACGGGTCACTTTCTCCATGTGGGACATATCTCATCTTTTTTCGGTGTTATGGTCATCCCATGTTTCAGGGACCTTTTGATCAACCCCCATGGCAGTTCTACTGCTTAGGTTTCAAGCTGATGGGTGAAATCCACAGCCGCCAGCTGGGAGGGGTGTTTTTCCTTCAGTCACCTATCAACTGGTGGAGGATTTCGCGCATCAGCGAGGATTCTGGTGAGGCGCCTATATGAACCTTAACAAGTATGTTGAGAAGCAACAGTCCGTGTGCTTTTGGGCCCTGCTCAATTGGGAAGGACTTGAAACATGGCAGATACTCAGCTGAAAGCGATGTTGCGACCCAAAGGAGAGCAGCACTTTCTGTGGAAAATGCCCCATCTCCTGATCTTAGGACAGGGACCGAGCTCGGACCAAGAAAATCAAGCCACCTGACATGCCCCTTATACATATATATATATATACACAGTAAATACGTATATACAGGCCTATGCAATCCCATCGGAGCTGATGTCTTCCCAAAAGACAAGTCACCTTCTGGGCAATCTTGGCCAAGTGCGACTTGAGTCCACCCTTGCGGTTTGCAAGAGGGCTTAATGTCACGTATGGACGCAACTTCCGCAGTTAGGATGAAACATCCCCCTGGAGTCCTGGAGCAGGAGTTTGTCCACCCACAGTGTTGGGCTAAATGATTACTCCTGATCCTTTAAGTCCGCTCCAATTCTGATTGTTGTGTGGCTCTCACTGTACCCCTGCTGATTTTCATACCCCAACATAGACTCTCTCCGAGCACCCCCTTGGCTTCCATCAAAAAAGGTACCCGACGTTCCCTTTGCTGTGTCGCTTTCCTTACCGGGAACCGGTCACTTGATTTCGCCAGGCGAGAAGGCCGACAGCTGCGGACCCGCGATCGCAGCGACGGTCACGGGTCTTGGCGCTCAACTTGACGGTCACGGCTTCGGCAGTTAGGCTTCGCGATTCGCGCGGGTCACAAAAACGATCCCAGTCGAAGGTCTTTGGAACACTTTCGTGGAGGGTACCTCCTTTTGGTTTTAAAGGGAAGCCAATAGAAAAACCGCCTTTTGGGGGTTGGCTCCAAAATCAAGACACCTAGTTGATGCCGCGAGTCGACATGATTTGGTGTCTTTTGGTGCAGATGGGTGAGGTCGCAAACCGTCCCGTGGCTCCGAGCTGTTTTGGCTTCTCTGAGGTGGGTGCGCAGCGACCCCATCTTCAGCACACTTGAGGCTGGAGAGAGAGAGAGAGAGAGAGAGAGAGAGAGGGAGTGGGAGAGGGAGAGAGAGAGAGAGAGAGAGAGAGAGAGAGAGAGAGAGAGAGAGAGAGAGAGAGGGAGTGGGAGAGGGAGAGGGAGAGAGAGAGATGCAATGTGGACCCCAAACAATTCAACCTGGCACATATTTTGGGGGAGTTTCCCCCAAGGATCCCCTCAACGGGGCACCCGGATCAAAGGGGCTGATTGTAGGAGCTCGGAGCCCCGGGCAAACGACCAGAATCCTGGCCGCGCGGTTTGGCGGTGGCTCAAATAAATGTACCCAAAATGGGGCACCTTAGGCACCTTGGCAAATGGAAACAAAGACTAAAACCGCTCAAAGACTAGCTCTTGAATTTTGAGCCACAGGCATTTGTTCGAAACATCCCCTGGCCCTTGGAGTTCACAGCGAATGATCTGGCTGAAAGAGAGGAGCTAAAGTCCCTTTTGATTCGTTACCACAGGACGTGTTGGGTGGACTCATGTGGACTCACAGAAGGATTTTTTATTGAACTGTGTTTTATTGTGTATGTTCTTTGTCCACTTCCAATCTTTGTCGGACCCGGGTTACTTGAAGGCTAATATGCGTTATGCTTATTTATTCTTATTGTGTATTTATTATTATTGTTGTGATTATTACCAGTATAGTATTAGTATTGGCACTAGTATTCGTGTTATTAGTATTAGTATATGTTTTTGTATTATCATTATACGTTTTATGAGTATTATTGTTGTCATCAGTATTATAATATTACATATATATATATATATATAACCTAGTGTTTCTAGATACCACTAAAGTGGGTCTTCTAGCGTTTTTACCTCTAGGTCTTACATGATCAACTTCCTTGGTTGCCTGCTACGATGGAAACTGGAAGCACTGGGTATTTCACACGCACTTCTCGTTCGATGGCTCACATCTTAAGCGATGCAGGGGCTGAGCAGTGAGAGCACGGCGGTGGAGCAGGGGCCGCAGGATCCATGGGGTGGGGGAGTTTTAGGAGGAGCTAATTTTGATAGGGGACCCTTTGGTGGACATCATTTGGGCTGGGAGTGATGTCCACCAGTTGTGAGGTGGTTACCAATTCAAAATGCTGTGGATGGACAAACTCCTGCACCGGTTGGGATGTGTGTGCTTTTTGTTTTTCAGTTTTCATGGGGTGTCATCCATCCCATGTGCAGGCCGTTGTCCATCCACCCAAATGTCCCATGAAGGGAAGCACATGTGCCGGATAATGTGCCGTACTGAAAGGGGGCGCGCTACTTCGGGGTTGCGAGGGATGTCTATGAGCCTTTGAGTATACAGGGAGAGTTTAGACAACGATCATTATGGATCCTATTCATGGAGACAGAAGACCAAGACCCCAAAAAGCAGTTTTGACCTTTTTTTTGGAGGGTGGTCTTTCTGAAGGGACTTAACAAGCGACCGCCTTTTTTTGAGTTTCCTATTTTGAGACTTACCTGGATTTTCTGTTTCACCATGAGATGGTTGTTCAAGAACTGGAGGCCCAACAATGCAGAGGAAGATCCAAAGTTGAGAGCCTTTCAGGGGCACTATAAAAATGCAGGCAAGAAATGGCCGACAAAATTTTGTTAAATGCACCTCCAGTTGGACGGAAGACAGCAGACCGAGTAAAAGAAACAGACCCAATAACAAAGATACAAAGCAGAGCTAGTAAAACACAAAAGACCCCCAAACTAAGAGGTTGGAGGACATGTCACCCCAAACTCAACGTAGACAGGCCCAAAGATGTTTGAAGCCGCCCTTTCCAGATGGCCTGTAAGTCGCTTGGGCCTTAAGCAGGGGCTTGGAGGATTGCAGGGGGTGGGATTGCACCACTTCCGGGGGTTTGGGCATGAGCCGGAGGGTCTAACGGAAGCCACAGGCATGGTTTTACAGGGCTTCCGACTGGGTGTGTCGCTTTTTGAGGGTTGTTGAAGGGAAGGGGAAACACCAAGGGGAGGGTTGTTGAATTTTTTGGAAGGGTTGAAGGGAAGCCAAGGGGAAAGCCGGGGGCGTTTGGGGGGTCCCCGACAAAGACGCAGCCGTCGAACCAAGCTCCTTCAGGGTGATCTGGAAGCTGAGGTTCAAGAAGCGGCCCTTCGGCATGAAGAGGCGGAGTTGGTTTGAGAAAGTTGGCCAAAGATGATTACCCTGGGTTCCCTAAGAGTTTCCTTTGCTCGTAGGCAACAACCCTGTTTCCACAATCCATGTCTATCCCAGCGCTTCCAGTTTCCAAAAATATAGTCGGTAGCCAACAGGTAAAGCCCAGAGGTAAACCTAGCTGGTTTCTACTCTAGTGGTAAAAGGAAGCACTGGGTAAGACAATGTCCACCCAAGCCACCCTTCAGGAACACAAATTTAGATGGGGGTTCAACCTTTTGACATCGCCACCGCGCAGAGGCGTACACCCATAGGTGTCCTTTTTGGTTGGTAGAAAAATTGTGGGGCGATTCCTGGTTTACCTGGTGGTTCAATCAACTACCAGAGCCATCTATTTTCCCAAAAAGGACACCTATGCGTACACGCTATTTTTCCATTTCTCCGTTGCGGAAGAAAAACGCCTTCACAATGGAAGGCCGCCTGGCGCGAAGAAGTGGCGCAGGTACACTCCGGGATATCAAGGAAAAGGTGCCATGGTGATCGACATGCAGGAGGGTCGCTGAGGTTCTCGTGCCTCTTCAATTGCTTTAAAACGCGTGCTTGTCTGTGTTCATCAATCTTGAGGCAAACCCATATGGGTGTGTCTTTTTGGGAGTTGGTACCCCTTTTTGGTTGGTTCGAAAATGAAGCTGAAAGGAAAAGGGCTTGGGGGTTGAACATGGGAAAATGCCGTTGCGCGCTGCTTCCGACGGTTTCCAACCATACGGTGTCCTCTTTGAGATGATTGGAGTTAAGAAGCATCATACGGGTGTGTCCTTTTTTGCGGGCACCCCCTGTTTTTGGGTTTAAAGAGAACCCAAGAGAAAAACCACCGTTTATGGTTTGTTTGTTCATTTTGTTGGAGTGCAACCTAGACAAAACACACCCATCCCACTGAAAGTTCGAAACAAAACAAAAAAGGCATCGGCACCCAGCAAATTCACGGGGCCTGTCGGGGACAGATGGAGGGACACCAGGAATCCGCTGGGGGTCCAGTTCCTATGTGGGTTTGTGTCCAAATAGGAGGGAGGGGGGAGGGGGGGGGGGGATTTCTTTTTGGGGGGAGGGTGTCGGTTTGTGTCAATGTAGGAGGCTGGCCCCAAAATGGCGGCTCTCCAACATGGCTTCCCTCTCAGCCAACCTGAAAAGCGTACCGCAAGAACACATACACACAAATAGGAGGGCGGGACACATATGAAAATTGTTGTTGGGAAGAATCAACATAGGCTATTCAGTACCCGCCTAAGGGGGGAGAAGCGCCACTTGCATGTTCGAGCTCCTTGAGCAGGTAAGCATGGTTACTGGGATAAATGGGTGCGTGTTTGTTTGGAGGGTGGCCTTTCAAAGCCAATACCAAAGTGTTTGAGCCCCCCCCCAAAAAAAAGAGACACTCTCATTAAATGGGGTTTGCTGACTTATAACCATGGCTATAACCCACGTGCTAAGTGGTGTGAACATCCAAGCTGCATCAGGAGAAGAGCCGCTACCCAGGCGATGCGATGGGCCAGGCTGCTGTGGGCGGAGTCAGGACGCGCCGCAGTCCGAGTGGCGAAACCCCCGAAACTCGCCGAAACCACGCGCGGGTGGCGGGTGGTAGGTGGTGGGGGGCGGGGGGTGGGGGGTGGGGGGTGAGGGTGTTGTTTACCGGAGGATCAGGGACCCACTAAACAAGTCACGCCCATTTGGGGGGAGGTTCTCGACAAAAGGAGTTGGCTCCCCCTTGAGAATTTTTCTCAGCCAAAAGGTGGCTCACCATTGTGGAAAGCTAACAGGATACCCATTTCGGTGGTTCCCAGATGAGAGGCATCCGCGAGGAAAATGTCTCGAAGGGGGCAGTCGCAACCGAGATGTGCAGCGCACACCCACCTTCTTGATTGTTGGCATTGTCGTTCAATGACGCACTCAGGGTTTATTTATTTTTCTACAAGAAAGCATAGCAACAAGGTCCAGTTGGTGGGAGTTTTATATAACTGTATTACATGAACATCGATAGGAACGCCTTGATGTTAATTGTCGGATTCACAAAATGCCAGGCCAGCCATATCCAACACGTTTGGTAGAATGACGTGAGTTACGAGGTCTCCTTTGCTCCGCCCTTGCTCCCCTGCAATATGTACGGCTGTTGGAGGGTGTTGTGTTGCAGCGGCATCGCCAGGATTGGGATGGTGGTGAAGTCGGTGGCAGGCTGGGAGTCATCATGGAGGGGGAGGTTTGTCCTGATTGGTTGTGTATTCTTCGAGTTAGTACCCCTCGGGGTGGTCTAAAGGGAAAACCAGCAAACAAAACCAATCCATTGTTGGGAGTCACCAGACATTTTGCCACATACCCACCCCTCCCCATAGCCCCCTTCGAGGTCCAATTCAGCTTCTCCCTAAATCGAGTTTGGTTGGATGGCCAACCATCGACATGGGGCCATGGGGAATGCCAGAGAAGGGACAGCAATCAGAACCGATTCGGATAGAAGGCCAGCAAGGGACAACCCCAACCATAAGTGCCGGCCGAAGTGGGCCAAGGAGAAGCCGGGCCATACCGAGTGCAATTTTGAGGGACCCGTTTTCCAAACCCACGTGTTCAATTTTGAGGGACCCGTTGTCCAATTTTGTTTGACATGTTTTCGTCAGGACAGGATGTGAGCCAGTGGGACTTCGAGGACATCATGGACCTGTTGAACGACCAAGGCGGGGCACCTCACTTTCCTACTGTGGATGGACGACCCTGCACCAAGTTGAAACCATGGGGAACCATTGTTTGCTGCTATTTACAGGGGAACCATCATTCCAGGGTTTCCCAGGTGGTGCAGGATTACGTACATCCACAGTACCATTTGCAGCTTGCGGTTCATCCCAACGTGGCTGTGGTTGTCAAAACCAATGGGATCCCATTTTGGTTGGTAGGTGCACCACCCATTTTAGAACCTATTTGAGTGGTTGGATTGGGATGTTTACTGGGGGCTAACCGATTTGGATTTTGACCCATGGCCACATGGCCTTGGGCATTTTCAGTGCGCATCAGCTGCTTCAAAGAGAAGGTCCTGTCGAGCGGCTTGGAGCTAGCCCAAGCATCGGAATTCCATTCTAGTCCATACTGTGGATGGACAGAACCCTGCACCACTTTGGTTGAAACCATTGCTTGTTGGTATTCTTAGGGGAATCATCATTCCCGGGTTTCTTGGGTGGTGCAGGATTTCGTGCATCCACAGTAGTCCGTTAGATTTCCGTTGGAAGTCTGTTGGAATTCCGCTGGAATGGTATTGGAATTCCGTTGGACTGGTATTGGAATTCTACTGATACAATTGCGCTTGTTCGAGCTACCTAGTTCGACCTTAAATCTTAAGTCCATGACCGATCCATCCCCAGAGTAGCAACACATCTGGAGGGCTTTCGGCGTTTTGACCAAGATGGGTCAGTGCTATCTCTCGTGAAGAGCTCGTGAAAGTGTTGAAATCCGTGAGATGAGGAATGGAACAGATTGTGAATTGATCAGTTGACCAAGCAAGTGAAGTCATGGTTAGTGGAGTCATTGTAGTCTCTGAATGAATCCTCCGAGCCCCGCAAGTCGCGAGGCCACCGTGAAACCAATGCTTGGAGGATTCAGAGACTAGCAAGCAATTGCCAACAAATCACCTGGGGTCTCCTTCTGACCCGAATTAAACATGTTTGGTCATTACTTAAAATAATGGTTGGTCATTGACCCATTTTTTTTCGGGTCTCAAGGAGACTCCGGGTGGTCTCACTCTGAAGGAAGTCCACAGGCAGATTCACAAGGGAGAGCAAACCTTTGAGAGCAAACCGCCATCGTGTAAACAAACTCGACGTGAGAGTCCGTAGCCACAGAAGCCGGCAGCTTCAAAAGGGCAAGCCTTTTGGATGCCCAACGCTTTTGGGGTTCAATGGAGACACTTCCAACAGCCTCGCCGCCGTCCATGGAGGCGACATCCCCGAAATGTCTCTCTAAATGGTGGGTTTAGGAAACGGTTTCCGTTTGAGAACGTGTGCTTCAAAAGTCTCGCTTTCCACATCCAAAAGTGATTTGGCGAACGCGTCAGAATTGTGCGAACCCTTCAGTGTGATGGTCAACGTCAACAACAATTTGGGTATTGCCAACCGCCCCGCCAAACAAACAAATCAACCCCAACCCCCCAACAACAGAAAGGCTCAAAACATCCCCCCGCCAAACATACAGAAAAACACCAACTCCAACTTGGTGCCTTGCCACATTCAGTCGACTTTCGAGCCCCAAAGCAAACTTCTGGCTGTGGTTGTCAAAACCGTTTTGGTATCCCATTTTCGTTGGTAGGTGAATTCACCACCCATTTGAGAACCTATGAAAAGTTGGATTGATTCGGATGGTTTTTGGGGGCCAAGCGATTTGGGGGTTTGAGCCACCGTCTCGAGGCATCATGGACCCGGACTCCAAGTCTGCGGCCTCCTGGGGAGACGCCACCAAGTACATCCAGCGCCAGCCGGTGGAAGAGGTGCTGGATTCCCGGGGTGGCCGGCGGGTGCGGGGTGTCCGGCGGGTTTGCCCGGGTGCTTTGGGAGGCGTTTTCTGTTGTTGTTTTTTCTGGGAAGCCAATTTTGGGCCCAGAAAATGTTGAGAGCAAACCATATTTTCGTTGTTGGGTTGTTTTTTTTGGGGTGGGAGTGGTGGAAACCACAGACACCGTGTCTTTTAGGGGGTTCCGCCTAATCACGCTTAAGCGAGGGGGGGCGGAGGGGTGGGGCGGAGGGGTGCACATGCCTTCCTACAAGCAAACCAGAGGCCCCAGTTTTTTTCATAGCAGAGAAGACTGACACCTATTTGATCAAGCCTTTTCCGGGAAATCAGCCGTCCCTGGGACGTTAAGCTTAAAGTAGGTTTGACCTGGGGCCGTCCCAATTTAAGGCGACAAATTGTCACTTTCGAGCTCCGCCAGGTGGAGAAAAATCCGGGGTCGACACGGGCGTGTCTTTTTCTAGGGGACCCAAAACGGTGGTGCTACCAAAAATGGGGGGCCTGAAAAAAGACGCCCGAATGCGGTCGGTTTTCAACCGCAGAGCATTAAGCCAGGCATGGCAAGGAATCAGCTCTGGGGGGGGGAAAAAACAAATGATGGTTGTACGGGTTTTCCGCCTACCAAAAAGGAAGTTTGAGAAAGGGTGTCTTAGAATGCTGAACCACTTCCAGATGATGAATTTGGGCGAGCTAAAAATCACATATATATATATAGCTATATATATATAGCTATATATATATATATATTATAGCCTAAAGCTGATTGGGAGGATCCACATCCTAAAGCAGGTCGTTTTCGGGACTGCTCTAGAGACCCAGCACCCCTGAGCCTCCGCCTGATGCATCCAGCAGGTCGTGGTGCCTGCGACCATTGAATTCGCCATGCCCAGTGCAGGCGCACTGAGCATGGCTCAAGCGGTGCTTGCGCGAGCCCCCTCATCCCCAGAGGGTGTACTTGGGTGTTCAAGCTACTTTGGTTACAACCATGGTTAGACTAGCCGCAGTTACCCCACTTACAACTATGGTGGATTGAACACCCATCCGAGTACATTTGCGGATGTGAGGAATCTGTAAACAACAATCCGCTTGAACCAAGCCCAAGACAAATATGGGGTATGAAGGGATTTTTTGGGATCCGAACCGTGGTGTTTTCATCCCTTGAGATTGCCGCTTTTTGTGGGTTAAGGATTCCAATCCCCTTCAAAGTGATAGACAGAAGTCTTGGGAATGACCCTTATGGCTGGGTCAAACAGGTACCCAGTCTGGCAAATAGAAGCATGGACTAAACCCTGTGGTCCCCCAAGTTGTTCTAATTTTGACCCCCAGCCATGTCAGAACAGAAAGTGTGGATTTTCCGTGATCAATTGTGATCCATCCTGTGACACCATCTGCAGACAAGTGTGTCAAAATGAGTCGTTTTCTTTTGGTATTCCTTTAACCCCCCCAAGGATACCCTCCAAAAAGGACAGACACATGACATGTCTCTGGATGGGGGCAGAAGGGTTGGGCCACATTTGTTACCACTAACCATTCAAAATGTTGCAACAAAGGCTTGGCCCGACTCCATGTCAAAACAAACGACACACCCAACTGAACACTTGGGTTGTAATCATTTGCCGCCGTCCGTGTTTCCAAAGGGACACTATGGGTGGGAGTGGAAATATATGCGGGGGAGGCTTGGGAATGATCTCTAAAAGGAAGCCACCTGGATGGTTCAAGTCATAACCATGAACTCACCCCAGTGACCCCACTTATAGCCATGGTTTTAAGTTTTTACTTTATTGTACAAAGTTCTCAAGACCTGCAGTGGTGCCCCCTTCGGAACCGTTCTTTGCAGGGTTCCGAGGTTCCCGTTCAACACATAATAGCAACAAGGGTGCCATTTTTCCCACTGGGGGTCTGGGAAGCTCCCACTCGCCAGACTTAATAAACCTTGGCGCTTGTTTGCCTTTCGTTTTGTTTGTTTTCCCTTGTGACCAGCAACAACTGATTGGTCTAAGTCTGGCCAAGTACTTACTACCCCCTTCTTGAACAGTACTTGGGACTTTAGACGTGTTGCTTCATTTAAATGGACCCTCCCCCCCCCAATTGGGTGGTTTTCCTTTTGGTTTCCCTGTAAAACAACAAACAAAGGAGCCACTCTCATCCAAAGACCCAGCCGCGTTCCTTGCGCCTCCAGCCAGTGGCTCCAGGTGCCGGCGCCAGCGAGGCCCCGTTGTGCCTGAACGGAGTGCCACGGCGAGCCACTCGGCAAGGGGACACGAGAATCGGATGCGGAGGTCATGCGGTGGACGAAGTCCATTTCGCACCGAAGAAACCCTGGAATGATTCGATTCCCTTGTAAATACCAACTAACCTTGTTTTCCCATGGTTTCCAACTGGTGCGCCAGAAGGGGGAGGGGTCGGTGCTTTGGGAAAATAGATGGAATTCAAACCAAACTAAAGACGCCTGGATGGAATTTGCAAGGGAATCCTCAGAAACCAGGGGTTATTAGGTGGTGTATGAGTTCGTCCATCCTCAGTAGGTGTCCTTTCTGGTTGCAGTCCCAGCGGGGATGGGAATCAACTAAACGGTATCAGTCATGGGTGTCCTTTGGATTGGTTAGTTTGGTTAAACATAGATGGGTCTGGTTTAGATGGGTTTTATGGATTCCCCATCCACCAGGGGAGTGCATAGAAGGTCACCTCTGTTTGAGCCGCTTTTGAGTAAGACCAAAAGGGGAGCTACCATCCTTCCAATCATGGAAGCTGACGGGAGGCTGAGTGAAGACTGCTTTCAGCTTGTGCTGCCCTTTTGGAGAGGCCCCTTTGGGCCCCTTTCCTTTTGAGTGGTAAGGCCAAAAGGGGGTTTTCCATTCATCTTGCTGGTGCGATAGGCAGGGAATGACCGTTCCGGGATTTGGGAATGAGCCGGAAGGGCATTCCCTTAAAGGAGGCCATAGGAGAGATAGTTCCTCCGGCGTCACTTGGAGGTTCATGGTTGAAACCACTTGGAGGTTCATGGTTGAAGCCGTGGGGATTTAATCTGCCAAGATGTTTGAAGATTCGAGTACAGCGCATTACGAGGGATGCAAATTGGAGGGCTGGCTGAAACCCCCCAACCCCTGCCCCAGAACCCGCTCTAAACCGCCTCCCCCCCAAGAGAAAGAGGCAAACCTCCCCTACCCCCCCCCACCCGCGCAAAGAAGAAAAAGACGAGAAGAAACAAACAACTTCCCCCCTTGAAAAATAACCAAACATGCACGCCTCAAGCCTCCAACTAGAACAAAAGCAAACCTCTCCCCTCAAAACAAAAATAATACCTGGAGTCTCCATGACCCTTTAAAACTGGGTCAATGACCCCATTGTTTTGGGTAATGACTCCGTTATTGAAGGGTCATGGAGACTCCAGGTGCCCAACTCCTCCCCCAAAAAAATAAAATAAAAAAATCAAACGCCACAAATCACCTCCCCCCCCCCCCCGCCCAAAGACTCCACTGGTCCACCGGAGCCAAGACTCCCAGGACGGCGTGGTGGGCCTGGCGCTGCCGGAGCCGCTGGCGCCCGCTCTGCGGCTCAGCGCGGTGAAGATGGGGCCCAGCCTGGAGGCGCTCCTACCGCTCCGTTTAGGTGACTCGAACTCACGGATAATATATATATATATAACAAAAACGAATCCTCGCGCAGATGGGGAAAAGCAACAAACAACCTTCTCCAAACCGAAGCTTGTTGTTTCACGGCCAATTTATGTTTGAGGGTATCCCCCCTTTTGGGGTTGTTTTAGAGGTTGTTGGTTGACCCCCTCCCCCAGACCCAACCTCTTTTTTTTTTCACGACCATTTAGGGTGTATCGTCTGTTTCTGAGGGTATCACTTGTTTTGTTTGTTTTGAAGGAACACCAAGAGGAAACCATGATTTTGGAGGTGCCCTTGGTGAGCCCTTAACAAACCTATGGGTTTATGGGGTTATGAGAGACTCTACTTGGATGTTCGGCCCACTGTGTGTAAGTTATAACCATGGCTGGGAGAACTGGGGCCTGACTTATAGCCATAGGTTATAACTCTATAACCAACTTGCTAAGAAGGCTGAATTGAGCCGCTGCAGATTCGAGTGGGGAATAATTAGCCGACAGTTGTCAGTTTGCCCAGAAGGAAGCCAACAGTGGACGGTTTCTTTTCCCAAATTCGGGTGTGGCTCAAAATTACAGAGGAGGGGCAAACCGCAGCTTTTAGTCCATGTTTCCACTTACCAGGGTTCCGCTTTGGTACTCCGGTTTTTTGAGCCACAGTCAAATGTTCCAGACCCCCCTATCTGGGTTTGTGAGTTTTGATTACCCATGAGCAATACAAATGTCTGTTGGCCGTGCTAGACCGTGTTAGTAGAACCTACAGCTAGACTTCAACCCAGGCATGTTCTTTTGGGGGAATCAACTTCCGGCTGTGAGTCCATCGCTTGAAATGGAAAAGTGGAACGCTGCCCCCGACAGGTTCATGGGGAACCAATAAAACCACCAATCCCTGCGCACCACTTTGTTGAGGTCCCATGTGGAAAAATTGCAGGGCTGCTTTTAGGCACACGGGAAGCTATCAAAGAAATCCCTTACTTGCCGTAGTTTATGGTGCCTGGAGTCTTCATGACCCCCTAGAAAAGCCTTAGACAATGGTTGGTCATTGCCAAAAGGGTCATGACAAAGGATTTTTTAAGGGTCATGGAGACTCCAGGTCATATTCATCCACGGGCGTCACCGGCGTCGGGAGTTGACCGTCAGGTGGCGAAGGCGGGGCCGAACCCGGAGGGAGGCTTCGTGGTGGAGGTGATCCGGGTGCAGGGCAAGGACTCCGAAGCTGGCGGCTTCGTTTCGGCCAAAAGAAAACACACGTCAAACCGTGGGGTGTTTGGGTGGGAAGCCACATGCCTGGGTCCTTTTGTTTTGGGTACCCACTTCTTTTTTTGGGTGGAGGGGACCCATTGTTGGGTTGCTTGTAGCCAAAAGGAAAGCCACCCATTGTAAGTGGGTTCCCTCATTTTGAGACACCGCCTTTTGGATTAAAGGGACATGTTCAGGACAACTGTGGGGCGGGCAACCAAACAGAACCCTGCTGTGTTGTGTAAAGGGGAACACTAGTGAAAACGGGGCCCCAACTACATGGCGAGGTAGCTCCGCGAAAAATTCGCAAAAACGTACCCTGAAAGAAAGCCAAGCTTTCGAACTTTGGACTCTTATTTGTTGTCTCTGTTTCGTGGTGGCTGGCACCAAAAAATCCAATCCTGGACCTTGAACCAGTCACTAACTTGTGGTTCGTTCGAGGGGGGGGGGGCCTGCGGGCACGCGGGCGGCCGAAAAGCCGTGCAGGACATGCCAGCAGCAAGTGCCCTGAAGATGGCGGCAAAGGCGGCAGGCCTCAACAGCATGAAAGGACCCGAAACGGCCGGTCGGTGGCTCCCCAAACGAACATTGGATTCCCAAGAAGCAGTCCCCCAAAGCAAGGTCCTCTACAAATCACAGTTTTGGGGTCCATGGAACCCAACAAGTAGGTCTCCCAAAAAGGAGTTCCTCTACAAATCGCTGGTTTTTCAGGGGAGTAAATCGGCGGCCCTACAAAGAAAGATGTAGAAATGATGCTTGGCTTCCCTTGTTATCCAATGTGAGAAGGGTCCCTCAAAAAATCACACCCCCGGTCAGCCGAGCAGAGAAAGGCCTTGGGCAGCCGAAACCAATTCTGTCCGTTGTTGGGTCACTTGGCGAATAGAGGGCTTCTACCTGTTTTGCCTGGGCTCGATGTTCATCAAGCCCAGTGGAGTCCACTCACATATATATATATATATATCCAAAGGCATGCCTCAAGTCAGCCACCCGATGTCCAAAAGGATACCTCAAGTCATCAGACTTTGCCTCGGATATGGAGCCCTTGGGTCTGCCGGGATGCAGAAAAAAGCAGAAGAGGCAGAAGATGGCAAGTTGGAGAAAGGTGACCTTCCACACAACAAAGCCTTTTTTGACCCCACAGAAGGATGCTACATCAGAAGGAGAATGCCAAATACAGGGCTCCTTAAGATATATGTTGCCCATTTTTGAAACATGGCTTTTTCCGCCAAAATAAAGGGAAACCACCATTGCAATGTTCAGATGTATAATGTAAGGATCCTTGCAAATAGCAGCACTTGAGCCTGGATTTTCACCGAGCCTCGTCAGGACTCTGCGTGGGCCTTCGCCGGCCGAGCAGCGGAGTAGAGGATGCCGCCGCCTGGGCGGTGTTCCCCTTGGCGGGGGTGTCCAAAACAGGCGCGAAAACCAGCGCGCCAAGTGTTTTGGGTGGGAGTCTCCGGATCTGACCCTTGAAACATGGCTGGTTACCCAAAATGTGCCGGGTCATTGACCCATTTTTATTTCGGGTCATGGAGACTCCAGGCCGTCCTTTCTTGGAGTTCATGGACACATTTAATGGAAGCGTCGCATCTACCAAATTTTGGGGATTCCCTTGAGCAGCTTGTGTTTGTGTTGGTGCGAAGGTTGAGCACGTGTTTCTTGGTTCAACCAGACCCTTGGAGTTGGTACCAGGCTTGGGCAATTGAAACAACCAGACCATCATGGTTTGGTTCAACCAGACCCTGGCCATCAAAGGGAAAGCGTGAGCTTGTTAAAACCAGAGCGTCAAACCCTGGTCGGTACCCATACGCTTTGAGGGGAAATCACTTGAGGATTTCCCTACGAACAAAACCATTTTGCAGCATCCCCAGCGACCCCCTACACCCGGCTCCCCCGAAAAAGCGTTTTTTGGTTTTTTTTTCTTGTGCCGATTTCGCGCTACGAGATGTTTGCGCATCAGTAGCCTATTTGCAGCTTGACATGGATCCCAGAGGCACCATGCCTGGAGTCTCCTAGTCAGTTGCAGGGGAGTCAGTTCCTTGGTGCAACTTGAGCAGAGGTCCTGGCATGCCCAGCTGCTAAACCATCCTGGAGTCTCCTTCTGACCCTTAAAACATGGGGTCATTACCCAAAATAATGGGGTGATGGAGACTCTGGGATGTTCTCCAAAGGTGGCTTTCAATGTCACCTTTTGTTTGCCAATTCAAAGTGAGCTTTCTTTGGTGGCGGGGCACTGTTTTCTAGGTTGGAAGCCGGAGCCCTTTATATTTGCTTAGATGGTGCTTTAGCAACGTGTTGGGGCCAATTAATTTCAATCAATGCTTTAAGGAATATCGGCATATGTGAGCAGCAGGCAGTTTCCTTTTCGTTTTTCTTTAAGCTAACCCAACAAAAAGAACGAGATACACTCCCACCAACTAACATGGGTTTGTGCGCATTTGGCCCGTGTCCAAGAAGGTGGTCTTCCTACAGGGGTCTGCGAAGCAAACCATGGAATCGTCACGAGATCCAGGTTTCTCTCATGAAAGCCCTCCAAATGGTGTCCTTTTGGTTTTCCCCCAAAAAAATTAAGAACCAACCTCAAAAACCAAAAAGGAAGCACCAAAAGAACGACACATCTCCTGCGGCCTTTTGGTGTCTTCCAACCCGGCGACAAACCTCCCGCCCACGGCCCAAGACGCCTCAGGCGGCGTGGTCTTCCGCTCCAAAGGTCCTGCAGCCGAAGGCCTAGGCCCGGACGACGCCTTGAGGGAGGCGCGGTGGATGCGATGGATGCGAAGTCTCAAAGGGGTCCATAGACAGATTGAGATGAAATTTACATGTATCTACATACTCCAGTAGACAATATATATATATATACATATATAATATATATATATATATATGATTTACATATTTGTATATAAGTGCATACATATTCCAGTATACACATGCGTCTTGTTGTTGGGGGGTTCTCAGTGTTGGAGGACTTCTCCGAGTGGTTGCCTGTCTTTTGGTTTTGGTTTAAGAGCGGAGTTCTCGCGGGCGAGTTTTCGCAGGTGCAGTTCTTCGCCCCCGGGCCGGGCGATGCTGTGCTGGTTGAGGAGCGCTCCGAAGTCCGACTTTTCGCCGGGTCCAGTCAACAGCCGAATGGCGAAGGCACGGCCTTGGGCTTCTCCAAAACTTGCTGGTTCTCCTTAATGTCAACTCCGGAATAAGAATTTGCTGGGTGATTTGATCGGTTTTGGTGTGCCCTTTTAGTGGGGATTCAGACCACTTTTGGAGGGAACAGCCCCTAATGGGAAGGGCTTTCTTCGTCCTGGGTCAACATTCAGGGTCGAATCATTCAACTTGCTGGGTTCTCCCAAGAAATGAGGCAATGACTTGTTTTGTACCTTCCCTTGGTTCATGCCCAAGCCCTCGCTGATTCCCTACTGAGAGCCGGCAAGTCTGGAACCCTCCCAAAGAAGAGGACCAAAGGAGAGATGTTTCTTTTTGGTTTCCAATCCCAAACAGAGCAAACTTCTGGATTCTCCGATCATTTGTTTTTTAAGACTGAATCTGAACGTGATGTTTGCGGTGTATCCTGGGTTGGGACATGACTCTTGTCCATTCAAAGAGGACAAATGCTCACCGGGTACCTTAAACAGTGGTTGCGTATGGAGGCGCCGTTCGCAAAATTCGATTGTGGGGTGGTTTCCCCTTAAACCATCATTTGGAGCCCGTAAGGGATGGGTTTTCACCGGCCCCGCAGTATGAGTCATGTTTTTGAGCTGCGATGGCTTCATTGGGGGATTCCCTCTGGTTCCATGAACACGAGGGTCAAAGAGCACAGAGCTTGGATCCCTGCCTTCAGGGTGGGCTCAAAAACCTCAAGGTCAGGGCTTAGGGAAATGGCTCACCAGAAAGCGGGTACCTACTTTCTCGAAAGAGGATTCGCGTCCAGCGGCTTCAAAGTTGGTTTTCAGGGCTCAATCCCAGAAGAGGCTAGCAAGGAAATCATCACTCCCGCAAAGCTGGGGGTTTTGTGGTTGGAGTGGCAAGGTGCCCGACCCACGCCTTGTGTTTGTTTGTTGGTTTGTTGGTTTGTTTGTTTGTTTGTTTGTTCGGTTGCCTGTCTTTTAAAGGGGAATGACTGCCATTCGTGTTTTGTTCGGGGGAAGCTTCGAATGGATCTTGAGTTTCCCCAAACATGGTTGCCCTTGGTGAACTCTAAAGGCGGTTTAGAATGGTTTAGAGGTCCAGTTTTTGAACCACTTGAGGTTTGATCAAGCTATGTGGTTCTATCTTTGATTTGGGAGGGAGAGGCATCACTAACACACAAAACGGGGTTGAATTCTCCTTTAGATAGTTCCACAATTTGGAGAAACTCCCGCAACAAGAACGGACACCATAAGTGTCTTTTTGGATGGCACTGGTTTAGATTTGTTTTATTCCATCTATTCCCCAACGGCTGAAAGCTATGAGGTCTCTGCCCAGATAGGCTCTGGGGTGGTTTCGGGCAGCTTCCAGGAGGGTTCCGGACAGTTCCAGAGGGTTCCTGGCAGTTGCAGGGCTGTTGGGGATATGATCTGCGCTTATTCCTACCTGGAGTCTCCATGACCCTAAAAAATAGGGTCACTACCGAAAATAGTGGGGGCATTCACCCATTTTTAAAGGGTCATGGAGACTCCAGGTATGAACGGAACCCAATCTTGTTTGCCCCATGTCCGCTGCGCAGACTCGCCGTAGGAGCTGGCTGCAGGATTTTCGGGCAGAACGGTTCCACTGACCCTTCTCACATCGGAGACCCAGACGGCGGGGTGCCCCAGTGGTCCTGAAGATTTGCCCTTTGAAAGGTGACAACACCTTACCCAGTGCTTCCAGTTACCGCTATAGTAGGTAACCAGAGTTAGCTCTAGGTTTTTCACGACAATTTTCCCCTGGTCTACTATAGTGAGAACTGGAAGCACTGCGACGCCTTAAGGTTGTAATGTTGAAATGGATGGTTTGTTTTTGGTTGCCATGGTTGCCATGGTTGCCAGGCGTGGTTCATGAATGATTGTGTGTTTTGGGTCCATGTCAATCAATATCAAAGGGTGCCGCCTAAAGGGGCAGGGAGGGGCAGGGAACTGTGTTGGGTTCCATGTTAGTCAATTTCAGAGGGCGCAGACTCAAAGGGACCTTAGTAAGTGACTATTGGCCCTGGTTAAGACGAGCCAATACCGAAGCCATGCTTGTAAGTTCCCTACATGGGTTACAACCATGGTTACTAGCCACTTACCTCAATGTATCCCGCTCCTTGCACTGTTCTCTCCTCCAAAATGTTCTATTGCCCGGTTTCCTCCATATGAAATTTCGGGCTGAAATTCGCAAATCCAAGTTCGGTGCACCCCAGATGCGCTCAGCTCGCTAACTGACACCCTTGAAGTTTCCCTTCAAAGCCTGCCTTTTACCACGGGATTCCGAAGTTGGGACCCACTTTCGGCGGTCCAACACAAAAAACAACAGAGGGAATTTCTGGAGTCTCCATGACCCTTTCAAAATGGCCCAATGACCAACTTTTTGTTTGGTAATGACCAACCATTTTTGATTCGGGTCATGAAGACTCCAGGCCCTTGTCAAGTGGTCCAACCAGAAACACGTGGCCCCCCGCCCCCCCCCTGCCGGACACATCCGGAGGCGGAGGCACCGGGAGCTTTGGCCTTGGTGGGACCCGCGGTGATCGGCAACGCGGGCGCGGGGACGGTGATCCACCGCCAGGCCCGCGCCCCAACGGCCGTTTTTTTTCTTGTCTTTTTTTTTGTTTGGTCTTTTTTGTTTGTTTGTTTTTTCGGTTTCCGTTTTTTCTTCTTCTTTTTTTAAAGGGAGGTTCACGGGGGTCGCTGGAGTTTCATTTGCTTTTTGCTTAACATTTTTTAATGTTGCCTTGCTGGTTTTAAGGGGAATCAAGTTCACTACTGGACAGATTTTTAGTTGTTCAGGGGGCTCAAGCAAATGGAAGCTGGAGTTTTTCTTCAACGGTTGATCAATTTACTCGCGGTTCCCCTTGTGGTTGCTTTAACCCAGCAGTGTCCTGTGGCTTGCCCCTTTTGGCAGCTTTAAACCAGCAGTTCCGAGCCATATCCCTTTAAAGAGAACCTCTTTTTAAGTGGGCAGTTTCAATGGACACCAGTAAATTGGGTCGACATTTGAATGGGAAACCCAGTGATCCCTATATCTTTCCCCTTGTGGTGGTTTGAAACATCACCTGGTCCATCATCGGTGGCCTTGGATCAGTTTGGTTGAAAATCGGTGGCACTGGTTGATCATTTACCAGTGCCATCCATTTTCACCAAAAGGACGCCTATGACCTGATCCCTTTTTGAAGTGAGTTTCTCCTGGATGATGCAGTTGGAAATACAGGGAGTCCTGGTTCAGAAGGAGTTTGTTTAAACAGTTTCTGCCGGTTTGATGGGTTTCGAGCGAGTCCACCTTTCTGTTCGGTTCGTAGGTCCCACGGAAATGTTTGAAAAAGGACACCAAGGCTTCAGATCAAGCATGCTCGCCTCAGGCTGTTGCCGTGGTAGCAGCATGAAGCAAGGCGGGGTGTTTGTGATGAGAAATCCTGGACATCGGGCCAGCACAGCCAACTGCAGCAACGCTTGTTCCTTCCATCCTAAGGATACATGTTGCCCGTTTGTGGGTTGGCTTAAAGGAAACCACAAGGAAACCACGATTTATGTCGTCCGGGCTACGTTGACAAATGCCCACCCGTTGGCCATATTGAACATCACATTTACCTGCTGATATGCGGGTTCGATATGCGGAGGGTTCTCTTGTGAGTCAGTTGAATGTTGGGTGTATCCAACCCTGTCAATCGTGGTAATATGGCCAGCTTGTGATTTTATTCAATATGCAGCAGATGACCAGTTGCAGCCATGTGTCGAGGCTACTCTCAACTGGTGAGGTGTGTCACCATGGTGAATCAATTGATTTGAGCGTGCTCACTTGCTTCCCGCACCGCAAAATCAAGAGGTATGGCCTGGCTTCTTTGGGTAGAGCCGTCAAGATTCTTGGATGGACTGCAGATGCCGGATATGAATATCACTGGGGAGTGTGAGCACACTCCCGTAGCACTTAAAGTGTTCAGTGCGCTTTGGAGCACCGATGTGGGCGGCAGAGCTTATGTATACAACGTCAACGTGCCATCAAGTGTTGCTATGATTAGATGGACAACGGCCCCAAACGACAAACCACCATTCGAGGCCAAGCTCCGAGCTTTTTCGCCGGTCCAAAGTGCCGCTGTTTTTTTTTTCAATTCCACCGACGCACCGGGCATTTCAGGTCCTGAACGGCAGGTGCTCGAGGAACTTAGAGACTATCTTTCCCACTTTTCGCAATGCGCGCGAGCAAAAGAGGCCAAGTTGCGAGGTCAGCCTTGATGAGACATGAGGGGCGATCTCCCGGACCGCTGGAGTAGTTCGGGGACTTGAGCCACCTATAACTTGTATATATTTGTATATATATATATACATCATATACTGACTCATGTGAAGTGGATGGATTTGGAGAGACTGCCCATCGCCACAACCACTCCCTCTGCCTTGGTTCTCAAGGTGCAGTTTGACGGAGTTTGCCAGTTGCTAAATCTTAGATGATAGATCATCTTTCTCTTCAGAAAATCGCTTCGCAACGATGCGCCGGCGTGCGAAAACCAGCGATCAAGCAGATTGGTTGCACAGCCGACAAAGGCAACCGTCCACTTTTCAGCCTTGAACCAATGCAAGCTCAGCGCTTTTTTTAATATCAACCCCAGCTACTGATTTTGATTTGACCAAAGCAAGTCGAAGCCGAGCCCGACCGCATCCGGCATCCAGCCCGCCTTTGAACTGACCCCATGCCTGGCCCGGGTGGGAGAGACCAGAAGGCCCAGTCCATGTTGGGGCCTTTGAGACCGCCAGCGTGCCATAGGACGTCCACTGGGTTTGAGACATGCCTGGGGCCAAGCCTCCCGACGCCCTGCCGAGCATCCCAAAACAGGCCCCACCTCTCCAACTGCAGAAAACTGCTGCTAGGGGAGACCAGCAGGCAGGACTCTGGCAAGGGTTGTTGGACGGATGATAAGGGCACTTTTGCTCACACGCTTTGGAGGAGACACGTGCGGCAGACATGTTTTTTCCCGAAAGCATGGCGAAGGGTTCTTCCGCTGGGTTCACTTGAGTTGTTCTCATGAGAGTCATTACAAGGTGTCATTGCAAGGAGTCATTGCAAGGAGTCATTGCAAGGAGTCATTGCAAGGAGTCATTGCAAGGAGTCATTGCAAGGAGTCATTGCAAGGAGTCACTGCAAGGAGTCATTGCAAGGACTCATTGCAAGGAGTCATTGCAAGGAGTCATTGCAAGGAGTCATTGCTAGGAGTCATTGCAAGGAGTCATTGCAAGGAGTCATTGCAAGGAGTGGCCGCGGATCGGACATCCCTTGGGAAGCCTCTACTTGGCTGGTCAGAAACACCAACGCTTCCTGTAATTCTGCGGCAGAGTGAAGGTCCGGCTGGGCAACGGACGTAGGTTCGGTGTCAGAAGCGGAAACATCCACCGGCGCGCTGCTCCACATCGGCTTCCCTCGCGTGACCTCATCAGTTCAAGTTCCCCTAAGCAACAGCCACACCTAGTTCGAGCTAATGCGAAAGCGAAGCAGCAGTTTGTCTTGACACTGGCGGTTGCTGAAGTGAAGCAAAGGGGGGTCCAGCCCCTGAAGCCACTGAAGCAAAGAACACCCCCTTAGAAAACTGCCAGTGACAAAGCAAACCTCGCCACCTGCCCCCCTGAAAAACGTGAGGTTTGTCGCTCATGCCATTTGCGGCTCAGCTGGAAAAGAAAAGCATCACATGAAGAAATCATTCACAGGCGGACGCCAAGGCAAGGAGGCGGACGAAGGGTGCAATTCCACTGCTCTGTCACGAAACCAAAGAGTCAGAGGAATGCGAAGCCAGTCTTCAAACTTGTCTGGAAGTGAATCTGCCTGGCCGTCCCATCTGGAAAGCAAGTCGGCATCCACATTGTGCTCTCCAGGAATGTGCCCAACATCGAGGCGAACACCAGAAAAGCAACTGAACAGCGAAAGTCGTTGCACAAAAATGTTCAACGGGTATTTGCCTGTGTATAAGCGGTTGGAAGCTGATTCCGCACCTGTATTATCGCACCAGGACTTGATCCGCACGCGAAGCCGACCTCCAGGAAAAAGAGCGGCAGTGCAATGCAACAATGCAATTTGTGCCAAGGCCTCAAAGGACGCAATGTAAGATTGCGCTGTATCCAAGAGCTCGAGGCCAGTGAAATTCAAATCGCAAATTTTGAACGACTCACTGAACCACCAAATGCGTCCGGTAGTCAGCTTCAGATAGCCTCCAATTGCAAAGCGGTCCTGTTGGGCCATCGCGTCTGCTGCAGCTTCCACGGCAAAACCAGAGGGCTCGTGCAGCGGAAGCATCATCGGAGGGTCCTGACCACCGCAACCAAAAGCGCAAGAAGTCTCGACTGGCCGAAGAAAGCTTACGGCGAGAGCCGGATGGATCCGCTACCCGCAACCAGATGCGCTTGTTAGTAACTGAGATCCTGAGATCCACTGAAGGTCAGCCAAACTAGTGACCGTCTGATGCCTAACAGAGAGCAGCTTGGCTCCCAGCGGAATAGCAGATCCGTCGGGACGCGAAGTAAAGACCAGCTCGGGGGAAAGGTGCGACACCAGGTGTGGCCAGTCCCCAGGGTCAATGCTGTAGGCCGTGCCCAGCGGGCAATGCAAATCTGTGTAAAGCGATGCCAACCATGGGCGAGAAGATGTATAAAGCTGGCAAAGCCACTGGAGCAAGCCAATTACCGGATAAGGTCATTTTTCAAAATCCGCGAGGCTGACAGCAGCCCGCGAATCCCAGTGGCTAGCTTGTTGCGCTTGACCTGTGGCACCGTCACCCCGCCGGCCAGAAAATTGAAATGCCAACCAATCCAAAGAATGGAGGACCCGCGCTGAAATTTCGGCCATGCCACCAGATAACCAAAGACCTGGCAAAAGCAGAGTGCCAGGGATGCCAAGAGATCAATGACCTGAAGTTCCGTGAAAGCAAGGAGGTCGTCTGCGTACATCAGGAGTGCATGGCGCACCCAAAACAGCTGGTGCAGAACTCGAACCAAAAACGCGCTGACACGCTGAAACCAAAAGGCAGAGAAAACAGCGCCAAAGGGACATACCTCAAAGAAGAAGAACCGCAAAGGCTGCATCTGAATACCGAGAAGACCGCGATCTGATTCACGCACACAAACAGTTTTGTGGGCGGCCTCGATATCCAAAGAGAAAGACAGCCGCGCAGGGGAAAGCTGTGGCAAACCGACTGCAGACCGGCGATTATGCCAGGCGCGACCCTCACCCTGGTGGTACCCCCCGGGAACCCCTGGCCGCCGATTCCCATGGAAGTCAATCAGGGCGCACCCCAGTGCATCGCTCCGGATGAGGTGGCTGAAGCGTTGACCGAAATTCAACTGGCTCGGCATGCCCAGAATGATGAGGCCTCCGACACGATGCTTTCTGATGTTGAGGTTGAACCACATCTCGCTGCGGTGGACAGGATAAGTGTGGCCAGTTCTGAGTACCATGACTGCCTGCCAGAACACCGCTGAAGAGGCCCACCGGCAAGGGTATGCCACCGAGTTTGTCCCGGGGCCTGGTGACTGCCCGGTGGGCCGGGGTCATCAGGACGATGCAGAGGTCGAGGACGAACTGGACTGCGACCCTTGACGCCTTGGATGAGTTCGCAGCTGATCTGCCCCAGATTCCGGACAGGGTTCAGGCCAAAGAAGTCCTCACCCTACCTCACCTCGGCCTCTTCGCCCAACTTCCCACCAGCTACCCCTGATGTTATGTTCAGCCCGGCCACGGAGGCTGGGCTGCGTGCAGTGCGAAATACTCTCGCCCTGCGGCGCATGGCAGCCGACGCGCCTCCGCTTGGCGCGGATGAAAAGCTCCGATTCCTTCGATCATGGCTGACAAGCCTTGCCACGTGCTTTGCCCGAGTGTTCGAGCCTCTGGCCAGTAGTGACGCTCCGCCTCGTTTGCAGCAGCTGATGCTTGACCGCCTGGCTCAGCCGCAGTTTTGGGTGGCTGCGCTCACCATCGCCACTCGGCAGCATGCCCAGCTTCTGCAACTATCGGCAAATAACGTTGAGCTCGAGGCTGGAGCTGAATCCCTGGCCACTGGTGAGCAGGTCATTCAGTGGTATGGCAGGGCCGGTCCGGGTGACTGGCCCTTGCACCGCCTCAACTTGTTGCGGCCATGGCCTACCTTTGCGCAAACGCAAGGAGTCATTGCAAGGAGTCATTGCAAAGAGTCATTGCAAGGAGTCAGGGCGGCGGGGTAGTGCCGACGACACTACACGAAAATCGACCCTCTGCGGGGATCGGCGTGGTCGAGGTGCAAAAACCCATGTTTTTTTTGCGATTTCTAAAGTTCCCGCGCGACCCTCTGCGGGGATCGGCGTGGTCGAGGTGCAAAAACCATGTTTTTGTTTGCGACTCCCTGGTCCGCGGGCGGGCGTCGCAAGATGCAACTTGCATTTTAAAGCAACTTGCGCAGATGCAACTTGCGCAGAGCAAGTTGCGCAGAGCAACTTGCGCAGACCAACTTGCACCGACCAGTTTGCGCAGAGCGCCTTGCCTAGAGCAACTTGCGCAACACAACTTACGCAGAGCAACTTGCACAGAGCAACTTGCGCAGAGCAGCTTGCACAGAGCAACTTGCAGGGAGCGCAATTTGCACAGAGCAACTTGCAGGGAGCCACTTGCAGGGACCAACTTGCCGGAGCAACTTGCGCGGAGCAACTTGCGCAGAGCAACTTGCACAGTGCAACTTGCGTAGAGCAACTTGCGCAGACCAACTTGCACCGACCAGTTTGCGCAGAGTACCTTGCCTGGTGCTGTCTCGCGCTTGCTTCACAAATGCTTCGTGGAGGGAAAAAGAACGCATCCTTCAGCGTTGGGCCGACCTCGCTTGCGATGTTATGCTTTCGGGCCAACCGTGGTCTAGTTTGTTTTTTTGGTGGGGGTTGGGGCAGAGCAGCCAAGTGAACGCGGGTGGTTTGCTGGTGGCAATCAAGGATTGATGGCGGAGTTCAAGGTAATGTTCTATGAAGACAAATTTTTGGACAGAGCTCCCTTGCTCGGGCACATGGTTCTCGTCAGTGAGCTGCTCAAGTGGACCTGATAGCTTCATTCTGCGCCCTTACTTGTTGAGCCTCAGCCAAGGCGAGCCATGCCCCCCAAGCGCGGCAAGACCGGTCCGCGCGGTGACGCCTGGGCCGCAGACGCCTGGGCTGCAGACGCCTGGGCTGCAGACGCCTGGGCCGCAGACGCCTGGGCTGCCGACAATGGATGGGGATCCAATGGATGGGCATCTGGCTGGGCATCTGGTCGGTCAACAAAGCGCCTATTCTCAAGAGCACAGCGCTTGAAAGTTTGGACAGCGCGAAGTGTTGGGGAAGTCGAAGATCCAGGGCTTTGAAGCTTTGACCTGTCCTTTTGGCTAGTTGCATCCGATCTCTAGGTATTCTACCGCCCCGTCAAGCGCTTCAGTGAAGCCGGCGGAGGAGCTGAAGCTGATGGCGGCGAAAGCCAAGGACATCTACGAGGAGTTGCCCCGAACTGGCAAGAAACTTTGGAAGGTCCTAGACACCGGGCAGCAGAAGTGCTCAGGGCGTGTATAGCAAAACCTCTGGAAGACCAACATAGATATTATAGATGTAAAGGGCTGGACATAACACACCAACATGCGCAGTAGAAAGTGCCAAGCTATGTCAGAAAAAGATCATCTGCCAATGTGCTTGCTTTGCTACACTTGTACTGAAAAGTTGCGACTTTCGAGCCGGAGCTGCCAAAAAGTGTACTTCCTATGAGAAGCGGCCGCTCACCGTTCACAGGCCCGACGGGCCTGACGGGCCCGACGGCTTCACGGGCTTGACGGGTCGCACCCTACACTTGCACTGATAGGTTGCGAATTTCGAGCCGGAGCTGCCAGAGTGCACTTGCTTACGCTTGCGCTGAAGAGTTGCGACTTTCGAGTTGGAGCTGCCAAATGAAGATGTAAAAGCACACAGAACCACGTGAAACAATACTGGTTGTTAAAGCGCAGAGGGCATTGGAGATCGTTCACCATCGAGAACTGTCCACACACCAAGCCAATTAACCTCCGTAGAGCGAACAGGATGACACAAGCGTGTCTTTACATCTGACTCAGGGGACGTGCATCCAGAACACCCTGTCCGCGGGGGTGATTCATTTTGAACGCGACCTTCGCGTGGAGTTGGATACAGCCGTTGGCGAACATACATTGCAGCGGCAAAGCGGGTCCCAGTGGATCTTGAGCATGGGGAGCAGCACTTTGGCCGTAATGGCGGTTTGAGCCCTTTGCGAGGTTTGGCCCCACAAGCAGGCAAAGCTCAACTAGTCAGCCAGAAATCCTTTTGAGTACATTAGGCGTGCCCGCTGGGTCAGCTGTAGGGCACAGTACGGCATACTTCATGTGTTTCTGTCTTTGATTGAGCTGACGGTTGAAAGAGAGCAGATGGCATTCGCGCTGTCTACTGCCTCCTCCACACTCACCGAGTCGAGGCAAATACTACATCTCCGTCCGGGCCGAGGTGCTGGGGAACCCGGACTTGCTGTCAGAGCTGAAGCGTACCACCCGGGCGGTGAAAGCCACGTTGTTGAACAACGGGGCGGAATGGCTCCACGACTTGGTCGACAACCCGCACTTGAAGAGCTCCTTTCTGCAGAGCGCTCACAACTACCAGGATGAGGACCAGGGCAAAGGCGGCCGAAGAAGCGCTGGCGAGGTGGAGGGGGAACTCTGCGAGATTTGCAGCAAGCCCTGGGGCCAGGACCGGGTGGGGGGGAAACACATGTGCCGCATCGTGGTGAGCTTCCATTGCTGCGCCTCCAAATGGACCAGCATGGCTGCGCGCTACAATCACGAGGACCAGGGTGGGTGCGCCCATGAAAATGTCTCCCAAAGGAAGGGGTGGAGAGTTCCTTCTCATCAAAAGGTTTAAGGTGGTCTCGAACGCTGAAACTGGTGCAAGTCTTTTTGCAGACACCCCGCTGGCTTGGGGCGACACGCCTGTCATGGGTCCATGTGCGAGTGAATCTTGCCCGCTAGGAAGCCCGAGTCATGGGCCAAAAGTGCAAGAAGTGCGGAAACTACGGCAAGCCCAGCGACAAGTGGCAATTGGCGGACAATGTCATGCCCGGCGAAGGCGTCGGATCTTTCACTTGTGACGCTCTGTAGAAGCAGCGGCCGACCGATCTGCTTCCGGGGAGCAGCGTTGTTTCTCAAACTGGGAGACTTGTGTTTAGTGCCAGAAAGATACTATAATCCCTCGTCAAGACCTGACCCTTGCGAGTCACCCGAGACCAAGCTCTCCCCTGAAAGGGGTCAGAGCAGTCAAACACAAGGCTGTGCTGAGGTTTTCCTTTGCGCCAAGCCTGTTGCAGCAACACTGAAGTTGATTTGACAGTCGACAGCAAATTCAAAGCAAAAGTTAACTTTGGGTGCTGGGCGTGAAGCAGGCTTGAGCCCATACAGTAGGCTTCAACACATGGAAGTTTGCACAACGTGATCGCGCACCGCTTGTAGCGGGTGCGGCACGTTGACGCGCAGTGCGGGAGTGCGGGGCAGTGTTGGTACCGACCTTCCCCAACGCTGGCTCGCGCAGGCACCAAGCCGCACCGCAGCGAGCTCTGCGAGACATGCGAGAAGTACGGCCGCGCGACTGACTCGACGGGCCAGTGAAGTTCAACATGTTTATTTTGCCGCCCTCTCTAAAACTCTGCTTCCCTGGTTGTACTGCACACAGTGCTTCCGGGCAAGCCACATGATAGTAACTTTTTAGTAAGTAAGCATGACCACCTCCAGGTTTTGCATCATGGCTCTCCCTGGCAAGCCTCCGAAACGCCTGGAAGAACTGGGCATTGATTTGCTTCGTGATCCCGCAAAGCGCCGCCTGAGGCAATTGCCGGGGCGCTTTCTCGGATCCCTTCGTGGTGGCCAGCGCGCTGGAGATGTACTGCGGCTGGCCGGCGCGCTGGCAGAAGCACGGCGCGGCCGCGGTCTGGACGGCGCCCGGGCGACAAGTGCTTAGCTTGGGTAAGCATCCCTGTTCACATGGGCCGTGGACGCCCTAGTCTTTGCAGCCCAAGCCATGGAACATGAAAGACATGTTCATCGGGTGAGGCAATGGTATTTCGATTCTGCTGGCCTCAGCCAGCGTTTTTCAACTGCTCGCAATCATGTCCAGTCAATGACGTCAAGTAGCCGGAAGCCGCGATATAGTTTGCAATTGTTTCGCCTTGCATGGTCTGCCAAGTGTGTCTGCCATGTTTGTATCGGCTCGGACCCCCTTCGCCCCCCAAAGCCTCCGGGCGATCGTGCTGTCGTGGCGCATGTCGCCCAGGCCAAGGTGGAGGACGCCATTGTGGTGCTGCAGCCGCACGTGCACGTGGCGGAGTATTGGTGACCATGGGTGTGTCTCTTGGGGTACCCTTAAGGGGCAAACCAAAAGGACACCCATTTTTTGGGGTTCAAAATTTAGAGACAAACCCGTGTGCCACGCCCGATTATCAACGTAGTGAGTTCAGCTTCAAGCCTGCCTTCACGGGTCCGACCAGTTGGTTGTCATTTTGCTGGGCACGAGATGGGTGGAAGGATCACAATGTTGAAGCCGTCCTCGACCAGCTTGAACGGTGACTCAACCTGTGCTAGGCGAGTGGGGAAAGCGTGTTATTAAGACCCTGCGACATAGTCCTCAGTAGTGCAGATTAGTTCGAGCTTTGCGCCGAATGGCCAACGTTAGTTTGCATGGTGCTGGGCAGTTTGCCAGGCATGGTCGAAAATTGCCGCGAGCTCTTTTTTGCTGGCGGAAATCCCGCTCACATTTGTGGAAGGCTGTCGTCTCCAGTGGCCATACCTCGGATCCGAAGTCTAGGCCACAAAGACCCTGAGCAAGTAACAAAGAAGGACCCGCAAAGAAGACCAAGAACCAAGCGCCAACGAAAGCCCGCAGTGCAAACCCATCCAGCCGGCTCAGGTAAACGACAATCACACTTATGATTCTGTTAAACCCTCAAAACACAGCGACAATGCAAACAACACACACACACACCCACGCACCCACACACACACACACCCACACACACACACACCCACACACACACACACACCCACCCACCCCCACCCACACCCACCCACCCCCACCCACCCCCACCCACCCCCACCCAGCCCCACCCACCCCTAGCCACCCACCCACGCACGCACTTACGCACCCACCCACCCCTTGACTCTCATGAGAGTTCACGAGTTCCGGCAAACCGCTCGCAAGGCCCCGGCGCCCAGCTCTGCACTTGTCACGCGACTGGGTGCCCAGGAGAATGGCTGAAAGGGGGCAAACGAGTGGTCTGGTATGTCTCTTTTGAACGGAGGATCTCGCAGAGGATTGAAATCACCAGAAGGATGTGGTGCAACATCATGGTTTCCTTTTGAGGGAACTGTGACCATCATAGGTGTCCTTTTTAGGTTAGTTCGGCTAGAAATAGATGGCACTGGTTTCGATTGGTGTTATTCCATTTATCAGAGACATCGATTTTTCCAAAAGGCAACCTATGGTGACCATCCGTCCTACGAGAAGTGTGTTTACCATGGTGGATAGTATGATCTTGTTGTGGGAGGCAGTTGGCGGAGGCTTGTTCGAGCCATGGTCGAAGACGGTGTCTGTGTTTTTTGTTTTTCTTCCGGGGGGATGTGGTTGTAGCTGCGCTGTTAGATTGGGGGTTGGAGAGCGTGGAGGCACTGTGGAGGCTTCTAGGAAGCAAGTTGATAGGGGCGATGAGTAGGGTGCCAATGAGTCAATTTGACGGCGCAAGAAAGGCGCAGTCCCATCGAGGAATAGATTCGGAGATTTGCAGATTTGCCTTTTGGATGGTTTACATGGCTTTGGGTACACTCTTTATGTTATACTGTTACCCTACTTTGGTTGCTCACGAGGGTACCCCCTTGCAAAGCAACCTTTTTCACTGACCAGCACCCTGCTTGTTAAGCATATCCCACTTGTAATACTGTACTTGTAATCATGGCCGCATGGCTGCACCGCATTGCTAAGTGGTTTGAACATCCAAGTACTAGATGATACATGATAGTATCATATGGAAAAGCTGAGGTTCCGTCGCGCGTTTTGTGTTGAACATTATGTATTTCCCTATGTCCCCAACCCTAATGAAGCAGACACTTTTTGCCGAACCTCGAAAGGTGTCCTTCGTGAGGTCGCTTAGGGGAAACACAGCGACACTCGCAAGCAGAGGTGTGCCCACAGCACCAGGTGTCCTTTTTTGGGTTTAATTTGGTTCAAATAGATGGATTTGTTTGCATTGAGTTTCGTTCAAACATGTACTGGTTGGGGCCGGGCCCATCGAATGTTTCCAAAAGGACACCTAGGCTTTACATCGGCAATTGGTATGTGCAAAGTATAGCGGGCTTCGTCAAAGCTTTGATTCGCACACTCAATGATGAAGATTCGCTCAATTATGAAGATTCGCTCAATGATGAAGATTCCCTACGTGGGGATTTCTTGTTTCAGATGTGTGAAGTATTGTGATTTGCCCAGACAGGCTGCTTCAGATTGACTGAAGCTTCGCACGCCAGAGCTGAAAGCACGCTCGCCTCAGGCTGCCGTGGCAGCAGCATGAGACAAGGCGGGCGTTTGTGACGGGAAACTCTGGATAAGCGTCACCGCCAGCTGATCTCACAGCAACGCTTGCTGGCGCCATCCTTGACTGACTTGGTGTTGCTAAAACAATGCTTGTTGGCTGTACTTGTTTGGGGGTACCCTTTTTTCATGTTGGCTTTGGTTTCATGGGAAACCAGAGGGAAACCACCGCTTTGGGGCGTCCAGGCTACGTTGACACATACCCACATGTTGGCCATGTTGAACATCACATCAAGGTGATTCAGAAGGTTTCTCTTGGTTGGGGAATCCTGCTATTCGTGGTACGTTTGGCCAGCTTCTGTATTTTATTCAATGTGCAGCAGATGACCTGTAGCAGCCATGTGTTGAGGCTGCTCTCAGCCGGTGTGGCGCCATGGCGAATCGGTTGATTTGAGCGTGCTCACTTGGTTCCTTCACCGCAGAATAAAGAGGTATATGGCCTGATTTCTTTGCGCAGGTCTGTGACACCAGTGTAAAAACGTTGGATGGACTGCAAATGCCGGATATGAAGATGACGGGGGAGTGTGAGCAAACTCCCTTAGCAATGAAAGTGTTCAGTGCGTGTTGGAGCTCAAATGTAAGTGGCAGAGCTCGTATACAACGTCAACGTGCCATTAAGTTGTTCTTTCACTATTACACAACTTGCTATAGCAAGGTTCCGAGCCGTGCTTTGTCCCGCCGGTCCAAAGTGCCTTCGATGCACCGGGCTTGTCAGGTCTTGAACGGCACGTCCTCGAGGAACTCAGAGACCTTTCCCACTGCCCGCAATGCGCGCGAGCAAAAGAGGCCAAGTAGCAAGGTCAGCCTTGTTGATGAGACATGCGGAGGGGCGATCTCCTGGACCGTTGGAGTAGTTTGGGGAAGCTGCTACACTACTTGAGCCACTTAAAATATCTATACTGACTCATGTGAAGTGGATTGGAGTGGCTCCCCATCGCCACAACAACACCCTCTCCTTTGTTCTCAAGGCGAAGTTTGACGGAGTTTGCTAGTTGTCGTACTAGATACAGCCTATCCCTTGCACCTCGCTGGAGAACATTGGACAGGTTGCGCCGGCATGCAAAAACCAGCCAGATCAATGATGTCGCAGACGATTCTCGTCGCTTTGGTCCTTTTGCCACAGCTGTATCCCAAAATCAAGATCAATGAGCTTCGTCGATTGCCAGCAGACCAAGTGCATAGCCTGCAAAATCACATTTGTCACCCGTCCAAAAGACGCTCCGCAGCCACAGTCCGGCCTTGCACAGGCAACACCTCCCAGTACACAACTTCCAAAACCCGAGCAGGTGCACTTCCGTGGATGAAATCCTGCGCAAATAGAGCTTGATTCCTGGTACATCGACTCCATCCAGGCCGACCCCCTGTTCAACCACGGTGTGCTTTGCCCAGGCAGACCCAAAGGCAGCCCCCGACTTTCTACGCGCCGCGCCGTGCCGTTGTCGCTCCTTTGGCATGGATGTCTGGCTTGCTGGGGCGTCTGCACCTTGCCCGGGCCAACCACGTGGTCCGACCAGGACGAATTTGATTTGAGACCTCAGACCTGGCTGGGCCAAGCATCTTGACCAGTCATGAGTCATTAGGAAGGCCTTCCGCGAAGTCAGGACCTTGCCTCAATTTCCTCAAACTGTGTTTGCCAGAACGGTCAACAAAAATGCATGGGGCAAGTGTTGAGCACTCATTTGTGTTCCGGAGCTGCGCCGTGCATCTATCTTCTAGCCAGGATCTCGGGATCGCGACACTCCTCGGCGCCCCGGAGGCAGACGAATTGGTCAAATGAGCAATACGGCTGTGGCTTTTTCTTGGGAACCGGACCCCCCGACGTCAGGTTTTCCCGTTGTCGCTTCAAAGCCACCAAAAAGGGCACCCTGCAAAAGGGCACCCCCATACTGTGGATGGACGAAATCCTGCACCATCTAAGAAACCCATGAATGATGATTTCCCAGCAAACACCAAAAAACAATTGTTTCCCATGGTTTCTTAGGTGCAGGACTTCGTCCATCCACAGTATTTCTATGGTTCGTGCTTCATGGCGATGCTCCTAGAATGCTTCTCACGGGTCCCGTACCCATGCTTGTTTTTGCCATGGTACATATTGTATGCGTAGGCTACGGGGAGGACGAGAAGCGGGGCCAGTCAAATGTCCCGCAAACAACCAGGGAGTATGACCATCCAAGTTTGCCCACTTGAGGAAACCCGTGTAATTTTGAGTCCGGCGCAATATATGTGTATGTTCAACCCACTTACGCGGATGATAACAAGGGGTTACTGGGATGACTAGGATCTGACGAATAACCATGTTTGTTTGACACACTTGCTAAGTCGGTTGAACACCCACCTGCCCTTTCATTCAGGTGTTGAGACGTGCTGTGAGATTTGTCCAAGAAGGTGTCACGCCTGTGCGTGCGTGTGTGTTCTATAAGGTATTTTGTTTCTAAGGAAAACATACGCACCACCCTTTGGAAGGTATCCTTTTGTTGGTTGGTTTAAAGGGAAACGAGTAAACCCCACGCATTTGGGGCAATCCCCACGATTTTCTGTCTTACTCCCTACCTGGAGTGTGTTTTTTTCAGACCCTTCAAAAATGGTTGGTCATTACCAAACATCATAGGTGGTCATTGACCCATTTTTATGTAGAGGGTCAGATCCGGAGACTCCAGGTACCCAAGCCACCTGAGCTTCCGAGCTTCGGAGCTTCGGGGTTCTTGGCTCAATGCGCCAGGTATGGCAGGTGTGCACCAAGCCGCCGTGGCGGCTTTGGGGCTGAGGAGCGCCCCCGATTCAGGCGGTCGGAAGCCTAAGGGGTTCCAAAGGAAGCCAAAAGCGAGCCAACCACGGAAACGCGAGGCCTCCCGTGGAATCCACCCACATTTTGCAACAGGAGGACCTACATGAGCTGGGTTGTTCAAAAGTCGATTCATCCTGTTGCCAGATACTAGCGGATTCCCTTGTAGTGGCGCCCTGCTAGGAACAATCTAGGTAGTTGGCCTTTCACAAAAGACAGGAGCCCCCTTCCTTAGGGGGAAAGGGTCCTCAGAATTCCTTTCTTCCCCCTAAGGAGGCTTGAACCTGGAGTCTCCTTCTGACCCGAAACAAAAGTGGGTCAATGATCATCAACCATTATTTTGGGGTAATGACCAACCATTTTTGAAGGGTCAGAAGGAGACTCCAGGTAGGCGTCAAGCAGCAAATCGTGGGGATTGCCCTAAAGTGCGTGGGGTGTCCTCGTTTCCCTTTAAGCCAAGCAATTTAAAAGGATACCTTCCAAAGGGGCCTTTGGTCGTAAGCTCCGGGAAAATTTGAGCGAGCCCTGGACCAGGATGGCGGCCAGGCACATGGCCAAGGCTCAGGCGCGTTACGGGGAATGTTCGGTCTTTTCTTGGCAATTTTCAGCCATCCGATTCCTTAGCTTTTTGGCCTTCTAGTGGGGATTTCCATTTTTGGCCGTTTGGTGCTTTGTGGCAGTTTTCATTCAACCCACTAACAGTTAAACTTTTAGCGGGGGATCTGAGGGCAGTACATGTTGATGACGCCCTTTTTTCCGTGGCTTCTAACGGGAAACCGAACGGAACACCGAAGCCATTGGGGGGCCCCTTGCAAAAAAAGACACAGCTATAATTCGGGCGCCGGCGATTTTCCTTAAACCATAGTGCTTCTAGGCGTTTCGGCACTTTCGTAGATCTACAGCTAGTTTTACCTCTAGGTTTTACATGTGATGGCTTCGCCTTACCTGCTACACTGGTAACTGGAAGTACTGGGCACCATTTAGCGAAGGAGTTTGAGGATGTCACTTTGCACCCGGTTGGAGTTTGGGAGCTTTGGGCTGGATTGACCATGAGTTCAATCTAAAAGACCGGACATCTCATAAATGCTGTGCGAGCCTCTCCTTGATACCATTTGACTATTAGAAACATGAAGCCTGTTACGTCAGACCAACTGGAAAGCACCACTATTTTTGCTGTTTTCCGGGGGAGAATGCTCAATTCTACATTGGACGTATTTGTGAGAACCTTTGGAGGAATTTGGGAGCTTGGCATAGATTTCCTGGGTGATATTGGCCGAAGTATGGGGTGGGCGACAGCCACCCTACGTTTCAGAAAAAAAAAAAAACTGACCTGGGACACGAATAATGTGGTTTTCAAGCGAAACGCTCGCAAAGTGTCACTCCACAAAAGATTCGGAGCATGACGTGTTGACAGCTGCTGAGATCAATTGAAGTCAGCGGCCGAAAACATGGGAGCTTGAGCATTGGTTCGTGGAAGTGGTTCAAAAACCACCCCATGACTCCTGAAGGGAACCCAAGCCGTCGTTTAAACGAGCGGTTCAAAGGCGTAGGCCCAACTCGAGGTACGTCTCTTGCGGAATTACTCCGAGTCAAAGCAGATTGAGATCCTGAGCGCAGAGGCCATGGATGCGCTTCTAGGCAGCACGGAATTTGCGATCCCACGACCAGCGCACCAATCGTTTCACCCACGGAACCCGTTTCACCCACGGAACCGCAAGCCAGTCACTGTTGCCAGCCCAGAAGAGTGGAGGACCCGGCGTGTTGGGGGAAGCCCGTCTTGGTTTCTCCTGACATGGGACGTGACAGAACCCCTGCAGGGGCAACATTTTGTGGGCTTGACTGGATTCAAGTTGCGTCCTATTCTATGAGAACTACGAGGAGCTCATTGATGAAGGGGCCTTCGTGGGCGCTCAGATGTCACTTCTGATTTGTGCGTCGATCGTGTCAGACTTTTTTCGCGTATCACTGAGGGTTGACCATCTCCAAACTATATGGCTACTGATTTCAATTGGCAGGTTGGTAAATACAATAAATTCCTACTTAAATCATGTGTACAGGGTCCATAGCCATACTAACAACTGGCCTTTCCTCTGAATTGACGGTCCCCACTAGGCATACACGACCTGAAATATGTCAAAATTTCCGTGGATCTTGTTTCTTTCTTTCTGTCCTCGTCTTGGTCACGCGATTTCTTTGAGCCTTCGGGTGGGCTCATGTCCAGGGGTGAGGTCGAGGTCAGACCTGGGAACTTCCGAAAGTTCCAATGGTGTCCCCTGGGGTTTTGCTCGGAACACCTCCGCTTTTGCCTGCTTTTTTGGGGGGACATAAAAAAGGGGTGCCCATCCAAGCCCACGAAAAGGGGGCTCAGAAAAGACCGCCTGGAGTCTCCATGACCCTTAAAACATGGTTGGTCATGACCCCAAAATAATGGTTGATGATCATTGACCCACTTTTGTTTCGTTAACCCATTTTAAAAGGTCATGGAGTCATTAACCCATTTTTAAAGGGTCAGAAGGAGACTCCAGGCAGTCTTTTACCACTTCGGGCGGCTCAACCCCTCTCGGCAGGCTGAGGCCGGCGCCGCCGGGCGCCTTCCGGAAAGCGCTCCTGGAGGGCTTCGGGAGAGAGGTGCAGAGCTTCAGCCCGGAGGTGCACCAAGGCTCGCTGCCTGGGGTCGGCCGTTTTTTTGTCTGGGGGGGGGGGGCACTTTCGGTCGTTTTTTTTGGGTCTGAGGGGGGGGTCCGGACACCTCCCCCGTCCCCCCCAAAGGGCTAGGTTTTGGCCGAGCCTTGGGTGGCTTTTGAGGGTATATCCTGGTTTGGTGGTGTTCAAAGGAGGTCCAAGTTTGGGTAGGTCCCAGTAGTTGAGCATGGAACAAACGGTTCAAAACGGCTATGAACCCTTGACTTGTGGGAATGACCTTCCGGGTGTTGGGAATGAACCGGAAGGTGATTCCCTTAACTTAAAGGAAACGGTAGGTGATGGTTTTTAGGGATCATTCCCTCATTCCCTGCTGAGAACCAGCAACGTTTAGAGTTGGACCCACCTAAGTGGCTGCTGGGCATGAGTCGGGGCCCACCGAATTTCCCGAATTAAACGTCATGCCCAAATCATTTGCACATATTATCTCGTGATTACTGAGTTTGGTTTTAAAGTCCCCAGCCCAACCCACATTCCTTTTATGATTTTACATGTCACTTTCATATCACCCCCCATGTATTCTCGCTCTGTGTTTCTCTTGCTTGAGTTGGCCCCCCCTCCCCCCCCCCCCTGCCTTTCCCCCTTGCCCCCCCCCCCCCCCCCCCGGGTTTTGGTTTTGGGGGACATCGGTCGAAGCTCCGCGCGTCGGAGGGGACCGGCGCCGGCTGCTGCAGCGCCTGCGGAGGTGCCGCCTGGGGGAAGACTTGGCGTCGCTGGGCCTGGAGGCTGAGGAGGCGCGAAAAATCACGCAGGCGGGGGCGGTGGGGGAGGGAGGGGGAGGTGGGGGGAGGGATGGGGGATGGGGGAGGTGGGGGAGGTGGGAGGTGGGGGGAGGGATGGGGGTGGGGGAGGTGGGGGGAGGGAGGGGGGATGGGGGAGGTGGGGGGAGGGAGGGGGGAGGGAGGGGGTGGGGGAGGGGGTGGGGGAGGTGGAGTCTGGTGAGACTTGGGGAGTTTGGAGTTTGGATTCTTTGGGTTTTGAGATTCAGATGTTGATTGCGGGCTTTGTTAGGGTGACCTACGGAGGGGGCGGGCAGCGGGGCGGATAATGACCCCAGAAACAGTCAAGATAATGACCCCAGTATTTGATGGCGAGCTCACCGATTCTGGCAAAACAAGCGAACACCCATGATGACGCCCCTTTGCTTGGCGAGGGGCATATACGCTTAGAACGCAACGCCATACGCCAAGAGAAGGTAGAGTAGCCTCCTTAGCCTAAGTGGGACTACTTGGATGCTCAACCAACTGGGTAAGTCGATTACAAACAATTGATAGCGGGTGAATCTAGGGATTTGCCCTATAACAATAGTTACCTGCTTAAGTGGCCTGAACTCACCAGAATCTCAGAAGGGGGAGGGGGACGGGGTTTGGGGAGTTTCTGGACTTGAGCCACTTGGGAACGCCATTTGAGTGAACGAACAGTTTGGAGTTGCTTCGGCCAACTCAGGAGGTGAGCAAATGAATTCATGTTGACTTATTTTGTCAGTTGAGTTCCTGGATCTCCGCTCTTATTGTCCATTCCCGAAGTGGCCACAGGAAGCCTCCTTTGCGAACTTGTAGCCGATGTTCCGTGGGCCAGCACAGCAGCTGCCAAGTGTTGGCCCCGCCGATTTTGGCAAGCCATACTTTGAAACCTTGGCTTGGCGTTTGAACCCACCAATTTGGAAACATGGTTGGAAAAAACAACCGAGAACCCACCAACTTCGAGCTTCCATCCCTGCTCGAGGAATGGGCAACTCTTACGACCAAAACAGAGACACCCGCCGTAAAGATTGTCTTACGCCTATTTGCGCCGGGGGAATTATTAGCATCTAAGTATTGTTATACCATAACATGTTCTTTGTATACAGAAAGGTCACTCTTATACATTCCTTGATCTACCCGGCTGGCGACTCCATGAATCCCCCTAAGCTTCATGTTGAGCATGTTTCCACTTTGGAACAAGGGAGCCGTTTTTGTGGATGCTGTACAAACTGGACAACTTCTAAGGCACCGCCGCTTTTCGGGGGTCCCTATATTTGGAAACACCCATGCCCGTCTGCTCATTGTTTTTTGTCACGGACGGCAGATTCTTCACGCAGTCGTTACTGAGTGATGCTTAAAGTTGCAAGTCGCAGTTCTGCAGTTGCCTCAGAATTATTGTGTCGCAGCTCCATTGTTTTGTTTACCTGGAGTCTCCATGACCCTTAAAAAATGGTTGGTCATTATCCAAAACAATGGCTGGTCATTGACCCATTTTATTTGAAGGGTCAGATCCGGAGATTCCAGGTAGTTGTTTACTTTTCGGAGGGGATGCACTCGAGGCGTATGTGCAATCCCTTTGGACTTTGGCTGCCCGCCGGGGCTTGGCCGTAGACGCCAAGGGCAGCAAGATGCGCAGTGCAGCCGCCACCCGCAGTGCAATCGGTCGCTGCATTTCTGGGGCGTACAATGTCCTCGTCTGTCAGGGGAACTATAGTTGTTTGTGCTTGCCAGCGGCAATGAAAGCAGCAGCAACATGAATGTGCAAATCTTGTAAAACATGCGCCGCGGCAGGTTTGCGGAAGCAAACGATGAAAAGCATGTGCCGCGGAAGCAATGTCCAATCAAGTTTAAGGGGAATAACAACCAACGCTCAAATGTATTGGAGGGAAAGATCAATCCATTAGTTTAAACTTATAGTACTGATCAGCTTTTTTAGTGAATTGTGGCTGTTACTTGTTAAGCATGGATTTATGAAACTAATTGTCTTTTGCTGCTTGTATTATATATATATATAGCTACACATTGTAGAAAGCATTGGGGTGTGTTGTTTTGAGCACGGTTCGATTCGTTGGTTGCAATTTCATTTATTGAAACCCAGGGGTACTTCATGTTTTTGAGTGCTGGACCCATGAGTTAAAATCCCATGTAGAGAACCGACAGTTGGAATCCTCGCTTTGAGGATTCCATTTCGGTCTTGATGTAAGGTTGAAAGCGCAACCAAAAGGAAGACCGCCATTTTGGAGGGTCCCCAGGGCTGACAGATACCCCATACGGTTGTGTGGGTGTGTCTTTTTTTGGAATCCCCTTTTCGTTGGTTCATCCCTTCATTTTGAGACAAACCTAGATACTGACGCATTGAGAGAGCATGGATGATTATGTTTGTTTTTAAGCGTGACAGCATTCAGGATACATCTTCGAAGCGCATCCTCTCCGTGTGCTGCATCGTCAAACACTACATTTGCCCCTGAAAACCGCCTGCATTTCTTGAACTTGGGTCTTTGCTCCCACAAAAAGCTGCAGCTGGTTGAATTCCGGCGCCGAGGCAGATTTAGCTCGAGCATTCCTTTCAGAGGACCCTGTCCAGCGTTGTCGGCCATGCACAATAAACTTCGATTTGGTCAAGAATATTATTTATGTTCCCCTCTTGGTTTTAAAGGGAATCTATCACTACTGGAAATATTTTATTTTTTCCAGGAAGCTTAAGCAAATGGAGGCAATTATGAGACGGGGTCAAAATGATCGTGAAGCAGATTCAAATAAGAACCCAGTATACTTCATTGCAGCCCTCCTCGCAATTTGCACGGAAAACGATTGGGGCCTCGCACACAAACAATGCTCTGGCACGATACCCTCGCAAAATGCATCATCTTGCAAAATGATAGGGAACTTACTAAAGATGGCATGAATGCATGCATGTACTGTAAGTATTTTTGATTGTGGCTCATATGTGCCTTGATCAAAGCACCCTGTTGCTTGGGCTTGGTAGATATGGGTATCGGACCCCAAATCAAGTCAGGGTTGTGTCAAACCCATCTGCACACGAACACCAGGTCCGAGTTCCGCACTCCGCTGCACACGGAAAACCTGGTTTCAGGACCAGTCTTTGTTTTTGTGATACCAAGAGAACCCGCCGCGACAAAGTGGGGGGTCTACTATGTGATCACAGATTTCGGGTGAGCCGTGCTCCCATGGTTACGGTTCATTTGTGCACTGTTCAGTGGGCTGCCTTCGTTGGCATCAAAAGCCGGATGCTGAGTGAGCGCACCCGGTGCACATTGATTTATCTCAGCTCCAGGGTCGCCAGATGCCTACGTGATCTGGAAGTGCTTCCATTTGGTTAAGAATATTATGTATTTTCCCCTGTTGGTTTTAAAGGCCAGGGGACTTGAGCAAATGGAGGGCTGGACTGGCAGAGTTTGCACCCTTACGATGGATTGTTGACAGCCGGTGATCATGTAGCCTGTAGCGAAATGGGAAATCAGCAGAAGCTCTGGTTGATTGACCGCGAGAATTCCCATTTTCACCTTGGGATCAATGAATCAATCTGCTTATCGCCTGCAAGGAATGGTTTTTGGTCTGTCATTTTTAAAGGTACCCTGTTTGGGCTTCAAATAAAGGGACGCCAGAGGGGAACTACCCATTTGACCCTTATTTTAGACCCACTCACAAATTGGCCCCCAATGTTTTTGGTTCACACCTTTTACGAACTTTGTATCACACACCACACAGCCTTTCCATAGCCGAGTGGATTTGTAAACACAGCAGGGGGTTAACGCCGCGGAAACACTGCCTGAACGATCCACCTCACGGAATCGCTGTTGGTCCCTCGCCCGCGAGGAAGCTTGTCCGCATCCAGTTGCTGATGGCCGCTTGCCTGTTCAGCCCTTTGTGGATGGCCGCTTGCCTGTTCAGCCCTTGTAAGCTTGGGAGCTGCACCGGAAAAGGGGGGTCCGAAAGGACGGTAGTCTGCCGAAACCCTTCCATCATCAGCTTCCACGATTATTGGGAGGTTCCAATTTGCTTTTGAGCCGTTGTGCTCGTCGATGTATTTCCTTCAACTTCAGGTGTCGCATTGTTTTCGGGCTTCTTGTTGGGGCAAAAAGGGAAGGGGGGGTCCAGAAAATAGTGCGGGGGTCAAAAAAAGAAGTGCGGGGCTCAAACAGTTAAACAGAAATAGTGCGAGGGGTCAAGAAAGTGATCAACATGATTGTTGTCTTGTAGTTCGCCGTTGTCTGGTTTCTGTAAATCAAACCCTTCAAGCCACCGATCGCTGAGGCGAGACGGTTGAGCGGTGGAGGCTGGTGGGGTCCTGGCTGTCGGAGCGCGCCATGGAGCGGGAGCCGGACATGCTCTTCAAGGCTGGGGAGAGTGCCTGGGTTTTGTTCTGGGTTTCCCTGGCTGGACCCGCACTTTTGGGGTTTTCTGGGTTCCCTGTTTCCTCCTTGGTTTTCCATTGGGCCCTTGGGGTTCCAATGAGTTTCCACTGCGCTTGCCCTCTTGAGACAGATGCACCAAGAAACAAAGGCTTCTCGTGACCGCACGTCACTGAGTGCACTTCCTGAGTAGATGAGGTGTCCTCAAATGGAGCCTCCCTTTTCGGATTGTACAAGGAAGGCATCAGAGATTTGGCGGTTCCCATGTTTGAGGTAACACTTCAGGGACTCAATGTTTACCCGTTTCTTCCCGTTTTTGAAACCAGCAGAAACAAGAGGTTCCGCGGAGTCAACGTCCTAACCTGGGAACAGGGGTGCGTTGTTGCCCTCCCCCGCCAGTCACAGGGTCCCTGAAAGAGGGTTTCTTCACTTTTGACTGTCTTGCTGTGTGGAACAAAAAACAAGTGCAGGAATTAGAGGGACCCCAGGGTGGCTTTCCTTTTGGTTTCCCTTTAAACCAACCTTAGAAAAGGGCACCCTCCGAACAAATATGGGCCTTAAGCCCACAAAGGTTGGCTTCCCTGTTCGGCTTCCCTTGAAAACGATCCAAACGGGCTACCCATAATATGGGTGTCTAGACAATGTATACATATTAATATATACGTATATATTAATATACTATATATATATATATGTACACAATAAATGTATACATATACAATATATATATATATACATTGAACACATGTAAACATGCAAACCCAAGCCCAGCCCAACACGACTGGAACCAAAAAACAGAAGAGGAGAAAGAAAACACCTTAGTCTGAGCTTCCCTCCACCGCGCCTTCCCGTCAGGCCGAGGACTTCCATGAGGCGGTGGCGCCTTTTTGGCGCGAGCAGCTGGAACGGGTGAACCGCCCCGAGGCGGGGAGAAGCTGCGCCTCTCGAACTCGGCGTCTCGATGTCAATGTCTCCACCTGGAGTGGGGGGTGCCTTCCCTGTTGGCTTTGCCCTTCTGACCCTCAAAAAAAAATTGAGCCGGGTCATTGCCCCAAAAAATGGTTGCAACGTCATTGACCCATTTTTATTTAAAGGGTCAGAAGGAGACTCCAGGTCCACAGGCAACCAGGAGCACAACAACCCGAAACGGAAAAGCGGAGGGAGCCAAAACCGGTTGTGCTACGCGTGATTCCTCTCCCTCAGAGGCACAGGGGCAACTAGAAGAAAGTACGGCCTTGATTTGCAAATTTGCAATGGTTTATTTGCATTTCATGGTATGCATTTGAGCCTAAAAGGATCAGGGCGGCATGCTCCGTTCGGGAGTGTCTCAAAAACGCAGAACCCCCCCCAGAAAAAGAGAGAGGGACTTTAGTTTCCTTGTTGGTTTTCTTGCATTACACCCCCCGAAGAGCGACCCGGCCGTCTATCTCGCAAAAATGTTCCCGAGCCTTCACTAGCACCTCCAACAGCACCCCAAACAGCCTCAATTCCCCCTTGCACCCTGCCGCCAATCTCGCAAAAATGGCCCGCGCCGTCACCGCCACCAGCACCTCAAACACCCCAAACAACACCTACGCCAGCACCCCGAACTGCACCCCCCCCAGCACCAGCCCATGAATCTCGCAAATCACTTTCCCCTTTATTAGAAGTTAGAACCCCTATAGCTTTCACCTATTTGGGGAGCTATTTGGGGAACAAACCCAACAGAGGGCCCCCAAAAAGACCCATGCCCCTTCCATTCGTGGATTTGGCAGGCTTTGCGCCTGGTGCGCCACCTGGGCCGCTGGGCACAGCTGCGAACAGGGGTGCGGGAAGGTTTGTGGTCTTCTTGGGGGATGCGTTTCCTCTGAGTTTCCGTTGCCAGGGGCTGGCCAAAACAATGGAGGAAGTGTCAGACTGCGATCTGAACAGATGAAAGGTCACTTCTCATTCTCCCAGCGCTAAGTGCTTTGAGACAATCAATTGGAAGCGGCTTCAGGGTGACTTGACTTTAACTAATTGCTCCCATGCCTGTCCTTTCAGTCTGGTTGACCATAGTTGGATGAGTTGGATTCTACTGGTTTGGTTCAATCACCCGATGGATTTGTTCTTTGGAACCTCCAAAGCAGTGGTTTTGAATGGACGGGTGGCTGTGAATTTCAGCGAGTAACACCCCCCGGCAGTGCCCTGAACCTGCTAGAGTTCAGGGGTTTTGATGACATACTGTGGATGGACGAAATCCGTTCGCACCACTTGGAAATCATAGGAAGCCATTGTTTGTTGGTGTTTACTGGGAATCATCGTTGCAGAGTTTCTTAGGTGGGGCGAAATGGATTTTGTCCATCCACGGTATCCCACTAAATTGCGTGTGTGTGTGTGTGTGTGTGTGTGTGCGCGCGTGTGTGTGTGTGTGTGTGTGTGCGCGTGTGTCTCCGTGTCTCTGTGTCTCTGTTTCTCTGTGTCTCTGTTTCTTTGCGTCTTTGTGTCTCTGTGTCTTTGTGTCTCTGTGTCTTTCTGTCTCTGTGTCTCCGTGTCTTTGTGTCTCTGTGTCTCTGTGCCTCTGTGCCTCTGTGTCTCTCTGTGTGTTTTCTAGCAAGTCAGCTTTTACGGGGGATCAGTTTGACTTTCGGCAGGGATCAAAGATTCACCAAGATCGATCCCCATGTTTTCCTTGTGGATCCTCAATTGGGTCCCCCATTGCAGTTCATGCTCGGGCCTTTCGAAGCATCATGAGTGTTGGGCGCGGCTGGCTACCGTTTTGCGGGTGGGAAACCATCCAGTTGTAGCCAAAGGCTTCCCGTGTTTGGGTGCACCCCAGGTAAGTCCTACGTCTGCAGATGGGTCCTAAGTCATTTGACAATGAATTTGGCCAGGGCACCGCCCCAAAAGTGTTTGGTGGACACAAACCCCCACCTAAAAGATGTCCACCAAATCGGGTCCCTTTTGCAACTCCCAGGCATCTGTTTGGAGCCAAAGGGCCCTTGACCCCCCACCAAACCCAAACCCAAACCCACCCAAACCCAACCCAAACCCAACCCAAACCCAAACCCAACCCAAACCCAACCCAAACCCAAACCCAACCCAAACCCAACCCCTACCCAAACCCAACCCGTCCCTCCCCCACCCCCAGGTGGGGACAACCTCTTCGGCTGGCTGAAGAGCATGGCATCCTCCAAGCCCACGGGCCTCTTCCAGCAAGCGCTGGCCTGGAAGTCCCAGCAGCCCCATACCGTGCTGCTGGTGCAGGCGGGGGGTGTCCTAGCGACCCCAGCGACCGCTTCAACGCGCGCGAAGCACGGCGGAAGCTGTGCCCGACAACCCACCTGAAACCGGCCCAACCAAGGCTGAGCCAGCTGAGAACGGCACTAAACTCACCTTGCTCCAATCCTGAACGACCCTTGGCCAACCCCGATGCAGCCTCAAATCAGTCTGAGGCGCGCTTGTTTTTCCTGGCTTTGGCGGGACAATTTCGCCACAACCAAAACCTCACTGAGTAGATGAAGGTTAGATTGTGGACGGTCTCCTTGCCATCAACAGGTACGGCTAAGACCATACATTGTTTGGTCTTGGCTGCCCCGTTTAATATAAAGTTCCGATTGTGAGTCACATGAGAAGTGGCCTCATCCATGTGATTCTGCTCACAGCGCTGGTTTTGCTGGTTGTGCGTTTTGCCTAAAGCACTCAGGGTTCATAGTTTCGAGCTTGACATGTTGTTGACTTGGCACGCTGCACACAAACTATCGGGTGATCAAGCATACCGTAGCGTGCCATTTGTGCGAGATTGGGGTGGTGGGGGGGGGGGGGGGCAGGTCCTGCGCGGGATTTGTCATTTGTAGCTCCAGCGCTCTCCAGCGCACTCTAACAATCCTTGACATCAAGGGCTCTTAGCCATAGCTTTTTGTCAAATCAAGTTCTGCTTTGAAAGAACAATCCTAGTGGTCGCTCTCCTACCACCTTCCTTTGAAGTGGAGACACAATCACCCCTGGCCTGCATACACTCCGTTGTCCAAAGCCGAGCTTTCGACTCTTGACCTGACGCTTTCCGAACGCAAGTCCACGTTGAGCGAAGGTTCCACACGGCTGACTTCCCAAGAAAGCCTGGAATCATGATTCCTTTGCAAATACCCGCACAAAAAGGCTTCCCATGATTTCCCAGTGGTGTGAACGGATTTCCTCTATCCGTCGTATTTATAGTTGTAGATTTGCAAACCGACAACTATTGATTGAATATCAAGATGAATATGGTTGATGGAGTTGTGGATGTTGATTGTTTGAATATGTTTTATATTTATAGTTGTTGATATTTCAATCGAATCCTCAACTCAATGAGGTGCCGAAGGGACTTTTTGGGAGCGGGCCCAGAATCAATTCGTGGATCTCCTGGAGTCCCCATGGCCCGAAATGGGTCGATGACCAACCATACTGACCAACCATTTGAGGGTTAAAGAGACTCCACCTGGAAGATAATGCAAATGCTTGCAAACTGCAAAGTGTATCTTTTAAGGATCCTAGTTTGTAGGTCTTAAAAAAGAAAAAGAAGAAGGAACAAAAAGGAGAGAAGAAAACCATGGTCCATGTTTCCATTTACCAAGGTGCCATTTGGTACCGGTTTTTTGAGCCCAGCCACTCCACCCACCTGGAGGGGTCCTCATTCTGAGCTCCCGCCGTTCCATTTCCCCAGGTAGGCGACTTCTTTGAGGCCTGGGGCGTCGCGGCAGACATGGGGCCCGACTCGAGGGGCGCTCGCGTGAAAGGCGATTCGAGGGGGACTCCGATTCGAGCGGAAAAGGAAGAAATACGGCGACTTTTCTGGAGGGTCCTCGTTTTTGGTGCTTGGTTTCTAAGCAAACTAAGTCAATTTTGAATTTGGTACCCTATTTTGAGACACAAGGGATGGATTTGTTTCCAATAGGGATGTGGGACCCTCATTGTTCGGGTGGTTTCCTTGGGTTTCCCCTTAAGCTTCCAACAAACATGCCCTCAAAATTTCAAGAAAGGCAATCCACATGACCATGGCTCAACGACCTTTTCGGTTGGGGTTATTAGGGCTATTAGGGAGGGTCACGAACCCGTTTGTCAGGGAATTTAGAACACCATTTGTTGGGGAGAAGAGCAACGGTTGAGAAAGTCCGCCCAATTTGCCCATGTCCTCTTGACGAAGCAAGTCATTTTATTCGGGCCTCATTTGCCAGGAGACATCAAGCTCTAGTTGAATGGAGTCGGCTTGTGGGTGGGGATTCTTTGCTATTTGGGGTTCACTAGGTTGATAGCCTAGAGGCTGCCACGGTGCAGTGTGTTACAAAGCCTTTCCGGGTTGCAGAACGCCATATTTGCTCGAAGAAGCTTGCTTTCTCATGTCAACTCTTTCTGGTGTTGGCTGCTTGAAGCCTCACGTGTCAACATGATCCGCTTCTGGTCGCGGCTGCTTCAGGGGTCTATGGGATTTGTGTAGATATGGCTGTGGGTTAAAACCAATGGTACCATTTTAGGGTAGGTGCACCACCCATTTTAGAACCTATTTTAGTGGGATTGGGATGTTCACTGGGGGTACAGGATTTTGACCCATGGTCATATGTTCAATTCTCTGTCTGATCTCTGAGTGTTGCCTATGTACTTCTCCTCTTGGTGGCTTCAAAGGCCGATGTATACTGAGTTTCCTTTTGGTGAGGTGTTCATGCTGGATTCCTGGATGCATCCAGTTATGCAGTTGATCTAGTCTCTCGTTTTGTTTCACTTTTTTTAAAACGGTGGGGTCCAGCGGGTCCGTCTTGTTCGCTTTCCTTCAGCCCAGGTGTCGACGCGGTGATGCTGGTGCAGTGGTGCGGCCTGAATCCCATGGCCAGGACGGATGGTTCAAAGCCTCGGGTTCCGATTGCTGGACAAGCAGCTCGCTGGTTCTCCGCTTTGGGGGTACGTTTTTCTTTTTGTTGGTTTGGGAGGGGGGGAGAGGGTTTTTTTTTTTTGGGGGGGGGTAATTATTTGCTTTTGTTCGGGCGGGGTGTTAAAGGAAGAACTATGGGAAAGGCCTCGGTTTGGAGGGTTGACTTGCTGGTTCGATAGGCAGGGAATAAGACATGGCATGACCTGATTAAATGACCCCCGAGAAACACCATCCATTCGAATTGGTTTGGTCCTCAGGAGGGAATGAGAAATGGAATGACCCGGAGAGAAACCATCCATCCGATTTGGTTTCCTTTCAGGGAATCCCCATTCCCAACACCCGGTCTCGGTCATTCCCTACTGAGCACCAGGAAGTCACAGCCAGAACCCATTTGTTAGACTCCATTTGGGGTTAAGATGGATTCCACCCTCATATCACTACCCCTGGAGATACTGGAATATACAACAATGATCTAAAGCTGAATAACATACACTCTGCTTTGCCCTAGCGATTCGGCGCTAATTAGTGGAAACCATTTTAGAGGGATTTCGTGCCTCAGAAAAGGGCTCCCATGAAGATCACGAGGAATTGGTGCCGACCTGGAGTCTCCATGACCCTTTAACAATGAGTCAATGACCCCATTATTCTGGGTAATGACCCCATTTTGCAAGGGTCATGGAGACTCCAGGTAGTGTTTTTGGGTCCCCAGGCGAATAGCCGTACGAAGGCAAATGAACCAGCATGAACCAACCACAGCCCAACCACAACATCCTCGTAGCTTGCGGTACAGCCAATGAGCAGGTTCCCCGTGTTTCCCATAGGGCATCTACCACATTGATAACATAATTGATTCGCGGATGTACTAAACTGGAGAAGAGGCAATGCGTTGGACGGCAGTTTGACCCGAGTCAACATGAGCCAGTCATACAAAGATCAATGCCATGGCTTTGCCAGAGGAACTGACAAAAAGAACAGGGCATCCGTTTTGGGTAGACCCTTTGATTTTGCAGGTGGGTCCTATCGGCTTTCAGGTCCGCCATTTTCCTCTCACTCCTCGCCTCTGCGAGGAGGGCCCGCGCTGGCTTTCCGGTGAACGCTGCAAGCCTGCAGCAGACCGTGGACTGCCTCACGCGCGCCGATTTGTCGGTGGCCGTGTACGTCCAGTCGGCCGAAAAGAAGACCGTGCCACTCGGCTCATTGTGTTTTTGCTCACTCGCACGCGCCGCATGCGCACCATTGAGGGTGCTGATTTAAGGGGATCCGATAGAAGATGACACGAGGGTGTTGGAAGGCTGGTTTCCTTTTGGAGAGGCTCGTAGACCACTTTCATGTCGGTTGATTCAGCTGCATCCTTTTGAGCTGCACGGGCAGGGTGAAGGCATCTTGGTGAAACATGTCCAACATCCAGCGGCTACGCCCATGACATCGAACTAGCCAGTTTTGGTTTCAACAAGAGTTGGAGGACATTGCTGCAGTCGTCCTCTAGGCAAAACTTATGGCAAGAGCAACTTGAACCCATTTCACCGGTCCTGAAGCCACGCATTTCACCGGTCCTCCAAGCACTTTTTTAGGTATGGTGGGTTTTGCTTCTAGGATTCGCATGATGTTCTCCTCTGCTACTTTGGTGACAGGAAGCGGTAGGTGGGTCATCCCTGCGTGCGGAATTCGAGTCATCCTTCCCCGCGGGAGGCGGCAGATGACCCCAAAATTGTGGGCACAGATGACCCGTGAAAACGTTGAAATTTCAGGACCAGTAGTACCTAGAGGGGTAAATGTAGCACTTGTTTCTGGTCCCTTTGTTTTGTTTGGTTTCCTTTCTTTTTGGTTGAACCATTTTTGGGGGGGTCAAAATCTAATTTTTACAGTACTGTAACAGCTCTATGAGCTCTGCATGAGCCGAATCAAGCAACTACCGTCATTTTGTTTGAGCTTGTGCGATGTGGCTCCAACACTGGCCTGTAAGCTGCTGTGTAATGAAAATTCCGTGTTATTATTTTAACTGCTCTTTTCATGACGCGTTGCATACTTGTCAGCCTGAAGCAAGGGGCAGGAACGTTTGTTGACAAAGTATGACTTGCACGTGACAATGCGTGCCACATGGCCAGCTGCTACCTGTCGCCGTGTGGTGCTCCATTCGATCGTTCGTACAAACACATCTTTGAACAGGCACCTAGGCTTGCCAAAGGAAGCAACTGCATTGGCCAACGGATCAGCTAAAATTGATAAGTTTTCCAAGCGCTTTTGGCGCGTGTGTAAGCAAGGTGCGTGTCCCAAACCGTGACCCGTGTTTTCCATCGGACCCATTTTTGTCGTGGCGCGCATGGGGTGCAAACTTTTGAAAGGGGGCATTCTGCCAAGCACATCATCGCACAGATAGAGAATACACACACACACACACTTTCCTAGATTTAGCACGGGCTGTGCACGATTTCATGGCAAGTGGCCGCAACTTACCGGTTTGCCAAACAAGGCAAACACTTGACAATGCATGGGAGAAGCTCAATCACTTCGGCAGAAAGTAATGCAACGGAGCACAACCTGCCGCCACCGCCCATAAAATACCGAACAACTTCGACCGCACCAGCCTCACACCAACCAATTCATGCTTGGTTTTGGGCTGGGACATGCCACCATTGCTTTTTGCGAACAGCACGGACCATAGGAGCAGGCATGCCCAACAGCCACCTTCCACGGGCAAAAGGTCGCGCAGGATTGCGCCGTCCTGGGCAACCCAAAAGCGCGCCGCGCAAGCAGTCTTTCCGCGCAAGGGGCTGAAACCGTAGCGAAATCTCTCGCCCAAAGGAAATGATAGGACAATACTTTAGCGTTCGGTTGTCCGTCAAGCTGGCAGAGGAAAGCGTGTCCAAAAAATGAAGTTTCTGGACAAAGCTAGATTGAGGGATGGATTTAAACTATTTGTTAAGCGACAACTTTGGCTTTGCTGCTTGTCAATTGGAATGAGTCCCATCACCCCTTTCCCATGATTTTGGCGGCAGTTGTTGAAATGGTGACTGCCTGTAATTGACAGGCTTTGTGGCTCAAGTGGATAGAGCGATGCTGTAGCACAAAGGAGAAGTGAGAGGAGCGACCACTCGGGCTCTCCAGCCCATTCATTGCTAGTTTGAGTAGGATAGCCAAATGTCCCAAACGAAACATATCCGGCCAACTTTGTCATGTCCAAGTTTATGCTCTGTAGCTCTCGTTCTGCGCGAAAGCGCGTCTTAAGCTTTCGGAAGGAGACACCGCGACCGACGCCTTGCTTACTACTACCACTACTAGAACAATTGCTACTGCTGCTGCTTCTGCTGCCACCACCACCACGCCTACGGCTACTACTGCCACTACTGCTACAGCTGCTACTGCTACTACTGCTACTACTGCTACTACTGCTACTACTGCTACTCCTGCTACTGCTACTCCTACTCCTACTCCTACTCCTACTCCTACTACTCCTCCTTTTCTAGCACCTGCTACTGCTGCTGCTGCAGCACTGCTACAGCTGCTACTGCTACAGCTGCTACTGCTACTACTGCTACTACTGCTGCTGTTCTTCTGCTACTGCTACTGCTACTGCTACTGCTACTGCTACTGCTACTAGTTCTTCTGCTACTGCTACTGCTACTGCTACTGCTACTGCTACTGCTACTGCTACTGCTACTGCTACTACTACTACTACTACTACTACTACTACTACTACTACTACTACTACTACTACTACTGTTGCTGCTTTCGCTGCTTCTACCCCTATTCCGACTGCGCAATTGTTCCCTTGCACACATATTCTTATCACCCCTCCCCTTCCCGGCCATAACTCAGCCCCGGTCTTTGGCATGCTTCGAGACCCATTTGGCCCACAGGAACCTGATCATTGGAGACACAGCTCTCTTTACAGCCACCAGTTTCAAGAGGACCTGGGTCAGGTGCTTGGAATTGTAGGCGCTGGATTGATTTGGAGGGCCCTTTTTCACTTTTGTAATCAATCATCAGTTCCCATCTTCAAACGACGAATCCAAGCTACCAAGAGGGAAGGATGAGATTGGGGGAACACTGCTTTTTGTTTGTTTTAACCACGCCCAACCTGGTTTTGTGGGACCAACCAACTAAAATGGAGGTCCCAACCAACGACGACATGAGGTGCACTAACGCTGGCTCTGGCAATGCCCCGTCGATTGAGGCGAGTGCTGCGGCAAGTGCTGACCCCCGGGGCTCCAAGCTACCTCCACGGACACGAGCTCGGCAAGGAGCGTCCCCCAGTAGTTCCCTTGTACCGTTTCTTTTTTGGGGGGAGGGTTCCCCTGCTAAAATAGACTTCAGAAAAAAAATCGGGTATTATTCTAACCTCTCCACTGGAGGACCTAGCCAAAATGGCTGGCTCGGATGTTGGGCCCAGTTGCCAGTTGCCCGGTGGACTCCGCCCCTTTTTAATCAATTCTTTTCTTGGCGAAGGGTTCCGATTCCTTTAAACTCAACCAAGCCAAAATGGACGCCGATTCTTTTTTTCCCCATAGAAATCCACTGGGCGTTTGAGTTGGGTTGGTACCCTTTTTGGGGAATTGAGGAACACCAAATATGAACTTTGACGGGTGTAGCGCAGGGGCTTCGATCTCGCAAGCGCGAATGTGTGGAGCTTGCCTGGCTTCGTAGTGAAGCCCATGTTCGTTGAACCAACTGTCAGTTGGTTTTGGGTTTGTGCCAGAATAGGGGGAACCTCCAAAATGGGCCGGGGGTTTCCCGCTTAGTTTCCCTTCACACCAACCCCAAAAGGGGTACCTCAAGAAACACAACCCCGAATGACCCCTTCAGCTGTAACATATATATATATATATTATGTGAATATATATATATATACATATATATATATATGTCATCAATGTCAAGACCTGAAATACAAGCCCCCTTAGGTTGAGGTTGACTAATCCAGGGTCGACACTGTGGGAGTTTGTTGGTCGTATCGGCGGCCTGATAGCTGCATTTGCCTGCCAATAGATGGGCTTGTGAATTGACTAGGTATGAGCTTGTCTTCCTGTTGAGGATACCCTTTTTGGGGTTTGAAGACAAACCAGATTCCCTCAAAAGGGTGTGCAAGTCAACTTTTTCGCCTGTTGAATAATCGACAGACACATGTCAAGCAAAATTCAAGGTGGTCTAATCTTAAGCGATGAATCCTTCTCGCATTTAATCGTATCATCACAACTCATCTATGGTTCGCTTGCAGAATAGTATACGCTACACCTCAATCAATAGGAAGATCCACCTTTGGGCCATGCGTTTTCTTCCGGCTCGGAATGCCCACTCATGGCTCCAAGGATGTCACTGGCACTGGCCACGGCAAAGGCTAGTAATGAAACTGTCATAAAAAGTCAATCGATCAAGGGAGTTCTGTCCAGAAAGAGCTTGGAGCCCGGAAAAAGAGCACGTTTCTTGGGATTTTTGGAGTCTTGGACGCTCACTTTGGGTGGGTTGCAGACTTGCGCCCTTCGGAAACTGCCTCGAGGAGACCATCGGCGAGTTCAGTGAGGGGCGGCCATACATTGCCATGCGCCTGAGGACAGGAGTCTTTGGCGCCGACTTGGAGGTTTCTCAAGGTCGGAGTCGGCCCCGAAAAAATGGGTTGCTGGTGACTTGGCTGTGGCTCGAAAAACCGGTACCCAAATGGAACCCTGGTAAGTGGAAACATGGACCAAAACCTGCGTAACCCCAGCTGTTTAATTTTGAGCCACATTCATTTTGCTTCCACCCAAAAAGGGGTCCATTTTGAGAAACCTCCACTTTGGGAACAACCGGAAACAAAGTAATGGACCATGGCGGGTTGGTTTTTTTCTGCCAGAAGAAGAGGGTTCTGGTTGAACGAATCACAGGGCACGCACCAAGCCCCTTCTCAGATCCCTTTGATTCTCTATATACGCGGAGTGCAATACTACTGGGCTTCCCTATCCATGTGGCAATATGTCTCTTATTGTGACCATTATGTGACTATGTCGAGCAACGAGTTTGATGACGCATTCATTCTCAAACCAAATTTCAGGTGTATCCAGATTTATCAAGTGCCAGAGCATTCCTTGGGAAAGTTCGACACATCTGGGGATGTGTTTATTGCCAAAGACCCAGGGGCTGGCAAAAACTTAGACGGAACCTTTGCCTTTGCAGGACAGATGGCCTTCTTTTTGCCGAGATTCGGCCCTTCCGGCGGGAGGTGCGATTCCGCGAGGACGCGCGTCCGTACGGCTTATGGCCACTTGAGCAGCGATTTTGGCTAAGGCTAGGTCCCCAAATCTTCATTCAGCTGCGGATGTGAACGCATCAATGTCTAAGATGTGCTACTTGATTATCAGACCTTTTGTCCCACTCAGAAGCATAGTTAGAAGTTAGAACCTCCTGATTCGGTTGAACACTACAGGTTAGGTCTTACATAAGGGATGGTAGTCCAAGAGCCAAAATCGCATCAAGGTTTGAGTTGGCACCATCCCCAATGAAACTGGTATTTGGTCCTGGTATTGTTTGGGTTCTTTAACACACCCCAAATCCCAGGTGAGCCTTATCTGCCGTTAAAACCTGGTTGGGAATCTTAGGGGACCTGGCCTTCTGCCGCACCCTCATGAGGCTCCAACGTAGTTGAGACTTTGGAATTCAGCCCCAGGATCACTTGGAACATGCCAAAAGGAACCTTTGGGGACCTTTGATTTGTGGGTCTACACTTGCCTCCCGTTGGAAGACAAGCCCAAGTCACCTGCAAGGATGGACCGTTTCCCTAGGCGTCCCCTCTAAAACAATTCCTAATGCCAAACAAGGCGACCCTCAAAGGTAGAGCGATATAACTATATGAACCAACATTGGAGACCCTTTGGTCTGTGAATAAGGTTTGCTCATGGTTTCCGGGGAGACATGAGGGACAATGGGTCGAGGCCCTTGGATTGTCTGTGGCGGCTGGTCCACATCCTTGGCGATTCGTTTCCGCTTTTGGCCAGTTCCTCCTCTTAAACTTGCTGGTGCTCAGTACGGACCAGGGAATGACCCAGGATGAGAATCAACGGACACCACAAAGGATGGGTTATACTGTGGATGGACGAAATCTGTTCGCACCTAAGAAACCAGGGTTGAAACCGGATGTTTTTTCAGTATTTACTTGGAACTCATCATTCAAGGGTTTCTGAACGACGGTGCGTTTGATGGATTTCGCGACCATCCCGATGGCACCCGCCACGTTTCGCTGCATCACCAGTGAGGGAGGGAGATCCCCAGGACGTCACGCCGGAGGCGGTGGAGGCGCTGTTGGCGGATCAGGACCCTGGAAGGGCGTTGTCCAGGTTGCGCGAGGCGGAGAAAGAAAAGGAACCCTTTGTCAAGTGTGGGGGAAAATGGCTGGTAGGCCCTGCTTTTTGGTGCGATGAGTGTTGTTTCTTGCAAGCCGGAGATTTTCGCGTAACACAACGAGTGCTTTTCCGTCACGGAGCCGCCCATGGGCCAAAGTTTGTTGCAAGCCTAATATGTTCGCGTGGACACCGTTTGCTTTTCCCACCAAACCCCCCACGTTGGAGTGACAAAGTCAACTGCAAGCCGAAGACTTTCGCGCGACACGGTTTCATGGCGGTGGTTGGGAAGCATTTTGCATGTTTGCCTCTTGTGGTTTGGTGGGAAATCCAACCACTGAACCCAACCCAAACCCAAACCACTGAATCCAACCACTAAAATTCAGCTGGTTGCTCCCCAAACCCAACGTCAAAGGGTTGGGCTCAGGACGGGGTGGCGTGGCCCATCTTCGTGGACGGCTCCAAGCGGTCCTTCCTCCAGGCAGCTTCACCGGGGCAGCTGGGCTTGGCGGAGGATGTCACAGGAAGGAAGCAGCAGGAAGCCGGACTAGGCAAGGCGGTCACAAGATGTTACAAGTGGTTAGAAGTGAGTGATGAAGGGTCTTTTTTGTTTCTTTGATAAGAGCTCTTAAGGTTTCGTAAGTATCGTGAGAAGGAGTAACAGATGTCATCAGTGGTCACCGGTGATGAAATGACATCTTGCTCAGATTTTGTTTGTGTCATGAGAGAGAGAGAGAGAGAGAGAGAGAGGGAACGAGCAACCACCAAAATCTGAGAAGTGCGAAGTGTTCATATGTTCATAGTTTAAGTACAATAAAGCGATGGTCTTGCCACAGGTTGAGTCTAAAAGCACTGAACAAGATAACTAAGAGTTTCTTTCCATGGTCAGCCAGTAAGTTCATAAGACCCTCTGACAGATATATATATATATATATATATACACACACTGTTGGCTGATTAATACGCATGTACCCTTCTTAGAGGTCCCGAGCACATTGTTCAGAAGTGTGTGAGTGTGTGTTTGTATGTGCTTGGTTGTTTTTTGTTTGTTTGTTTGAGAGAGAGAGAGAGAAAGAGAGAGATAGAGAGAGAGAGAGAGAAATGCAAGCGGTTGTACTTTGTCGGAAGTCCTCCGAATTGCTGAAGCCTTTTTGCGTTTTTTGACGGCTTTTTATCGTCCCTTGCATATTTCTTCCACTGAATATTTTCTGTGTTAGGAGCCCTCATTTTTTGCCAGACCTCAGTTCTGCAGTGGTGCCAGTTTGAGGGTCTGGTGCGAAGATCAATCTAGCGTTGACCCCGGGTTTATATAATCAAGCTGGATGGGTTGGAGCACCCCATAGCCAAGGATTCCTGCTACCGTGGATGGACGAAATCCGTTTCGCACCACCTAAGAAGCCCTGGCAGCATGTTTCTTCTGAAAAAGCCAACCAACGTTCTGGTTGCCATGGCTTCATGTCGTGCTGCGTTTCGGTTTGCAGCCATCCAGGGTATGGGGTACACCCCGATCAGATCAATTCACTTAGAAGTCCCAGGGTGCCCGGCCGAAGGCCAACAAGTGGAAGTGGTTTCCAAAGCAGCGCCGCTGGATGAATCTGCCGCCTGAGGCCTGAGGCGATTTCTTTTGAGCAGAGCCTTCGGAGAGTCGCAGTCGATTTTTCTGGACGTGTTTTTTGGGAAAGGGAAAGCGCCAACAACTTGCTGGTGCTGAGTAGGGAATGTGGGAAGGAACCCAGAGGTTTTCTTAAAGGAAACCACAGGGATGGTTTATGGGGGTCATTCCATTTCTCATTCCCTGCCGATCAGACCAGCAAGAGGAGCTGACGAATAGGGGCTGCGCTGGCGGGCGAATTTGTTGAGGGAACTCTTTTCGGCGTTGCTTTGAAAGGGGAAGCCAAGGGAAACCACCCAATGTCGAGGTTCCCCATCTTGAGGCAGGTTTCAAACAACTGTCCCAAGTGCTTGACACGACTTCCCCGTTGGCATCCCTTCTACGTTTGAAAAGGTTAACGAGGACTCTAGGTGCCTTTTAAAAATGGGGTCACGACCCCTTGAGTTTGGGAAATGGCCATGGGTCAAAAGGCCGTACCCCCAGTGAACATCCTAATCCCCACTAAACTAGGTTCTAAAATGGGTGGTGAATTCTCACCAATCCCAACCAAAATGGGATCCCAAAACGGTTTTGACAACCACAGCCAAATGACCAACCATCTTTTTAGGGTCATGCAGTTGCCATGGAGGTACAGGACGACTACTTCCTCCAGCGATGTTGCCAGGAGTTGTGCCACACGCTGCAGCTTTCGCAGGACCCCCCCAGGCGAGAGGCGAGCATCCCTCCCTTCACTGTTTGCTGGCTCCCGAAGGCCATCCTGTTCAACTTAGCTTTTTAGCCTTTTAATGTTTAGAGGTAGTTTCCATATAACCCACTAAAAGTTAAACTTTTAGCGGGGGATTTGAGGGCAGCCCAGTTGTTTGATTGGTGTTTGAGTGTGTGTGTTGTCAAAACGATCGGCCAGTTGGGAACGACCTTTAAAGGAGATCAACATGAGTTTGTCTCCAAACCAACGTGCCCCCATCAAAATAATGTTTTTCATTTGATTCGTCTTTCAACCCACGCTGCACAAGACAACTAGCAGGGTCGGCTCATTTTGAGGGGTTCTCATAATTACTTGCGGGGATAGTTTCAGACGTGGGCAGATTTGCTCGATCCGCTTTTGACCTTTTGGTTTTCCCAGAGGCTCCCTTGAAGTAGACTAACCAGAAAACACTTCTCCAAGTAGGTGTGCATCGAATCAGGAAGAACATGTTTGGCTTTGTTTTGACTTGCCTTTAAGACTGACCAAAGGGGCCCCAACAAGTTGTACAAAACAACATCACTAAGGACAAGATCCTCCCAACAAAAACAAAAAAAAACAAAATAGCAGTTCCCCCCCCCCCCCCAAACAAGAAAACACACGAAAGAACATCAACAACAAAGCGTGCCAAACCTCGATCCACGTTTTGTTTTCCATGTTTTCTGCCGTTGCCCTGAGGACCCGCCCTTCGTCCAGGTTCGGCTCAACACCGCCGGGGCTTTGCAGCCGCGATTCGGCCCAAAGCGGAATTCTGGAACGGTTGGGCCAGGCGATTCCTCCAAAAACGGATGGCTTTGGTGGGGCTCCATGTTACCTGGACACCCAATGGACCAATTCCGAAAATTTCAGGTTTTCCCGCGTTACCCCTTTGTGGGTCCTTTGGGCAGAAATTGTGGTGTCCTTCGAGGTCTATGTTCATTTGGGCAAACCAGGGGTTGGGCCATTCAACCCCTTGAAACTATGGATTTAAGCCACCAAACAGTTGAAACAGCCTGCTTTTGGTTTCCCTTCACACAACACTGGAGGCTGGCAGAGTAAACGCATTTTGCCCAACCTCTTTGGAGGATACCTGAGTGGGCTATATACTTAACTTGATGGTTTTCAGCAGGGTCTCTCCCTTGTAGTTTTCTTCAAGGGGTCCAAGGTTCCTTCGCAATACCCCGTTTCATTCCCTACTGAGAACCAGCAATTCAAACAGCGGGGGGAGCGGGGAAATAGCAGGCTTATAAGCAGGGTTACTAACCAAGGCCTAACTCATTCCGAACAATTTGCACCGTGTTTTGCAGTACCGTGCAAGCCCTTAGTCATGCATGTCCCGATGGTCCTGAATGAGATGGTCAGCTACTTGGCGGTTAGCAACTCTGAGCAAGCGAGCCATTGACCCCAAGTGGGTTACCAGGCTTGCTAATTCCCCAATTGAGCCACAATCAAAACCCGGGTAGATGAAGGTTAGTCAGGGACGATCCCAACCATAAATAGCTGCGGCCGCCTTCTTGATCCTGTACATGGTTCTGGGTAGACCATTTTAGTACCGATCGGTTTTGATTGCGACTCACTTAGTGGCCAGTTGCCAGCAAGAGGTGGCAGCGTTTGCTGCTGTCTCAAAGAGCCAGTGCTGCCATCCGGATCTGTCGTCCACTGGAGCTTCAAACATGAGCTTTGCGTGAGCTTGAAGTGAGCTTCCCTTTGGTAGGGTGTTCCAAGGCATAGGGAGCTTGTCTCCCAATAACATAGAGGCATCCTCAACGGGGTGTACCAAAAAGGACTGTAGAGAAAAAGTGAAGCACCCCACCGACTAAAATGAAGCTGACAAGAGGTTCCTGGTTTGGAGCATCCTATCGGGGCCTTTTGGTTGCAGCGGATATTCTGTTCCAAAAAAGAGGAGGCAAACTGTGATACCGGGTTTCAATTCTGACTCAGCTGAGACTTGGCCAACTGGAAGTACCACTTGCTGGATAGGGTGATCACTGCTTTGTCACTACCATGCCTGGTTTTACCTCATGATAGAGTAGCTGCATATTCAGAAGCACCAATCAACAGGGATGTGGGAGGAGCAGGCGCGTAGAAGGTGGCTTCTTCCCACCATTTAAAATTTATAGTTCGGTTTGGCGTCTTTCGAACTCTGTTCCCCCCCGCAGCTCGTTTTGTTAATCCGTGGTTTATCGCCAAGCGTCAATTCCTGTTGACCTCTCAGGCAGCGCAATGGCGCCAGGGATAGGAAGGGATTGTCGAGAGCCCGAGATTCAGGTGAAACAGCCGTTGAAGATGCTGTGTTTTTCATCAAATCAAGAATCTTGCCCGAAAAAGCAGCACATCTGCAGAAAGGGCCCTGAAAATGCGAAACAGGATGTTGGTTTGCCCTCAACATCTCAACATCATTAGGGGGGGAATTGGTTGGTTTCCTTTTTCCTGTAAAACCATACAAAAGGGAGTGCTTCAAAGAAAACAGACCCACGTGGACCGCACTGGTTTCTGAGATCTCTTCTTTGCCAAGGTTGACCTTGTCGACCTCCAAGAACCTGGGGGTTCTGCAGCGGGACGGTGTGCCAGGGACTTGGAGAATTTGACCCAGTCGTTGGATCGACGGGCGGGCAACTAGGGCGACTCCCATACAGCAATTTGGAAAATGCAATCATGGTGTCTTTTTGGTTTCCCTTTGAATGCCAAACCCGCAGATTTTGGAAGCAAAGGCGACCAACTCAAAAAGCACAAAGCCTTGTTGTGCCTGTCAAAATAAGGATTTGGACCCCCTCGCCCACCGAAATGGCGGTTTTGATTTTGGTGTTCCTTGAAACCCGGCTGAAAAGGGTTCCCTCAAAAAGCGCACACACAAACAAACAAATCATGATCAATTCGCAGGTTCCGGAAATTGGTGAAGGCTTTCCTGGATTTCCCCATTTTCTCGGGCCACATGTGACAGTCACAACTGCCCTAAAGACAGGTTGGCCGGCGCTTGGCATAGTTCAACTTGGGTCCGGGTTCGCGGCGGAGCTGTGGATGGTGACAAAATCCCTAAGAATTTCACCACGAAATGAGTTACCATGGGAATGAAACCAGAAGGTTGATCGGTATTAGGGGAATCGAATCATCATTCCAAGGGTTCTTAAGGTATCTCTCTTGTTCTTGAAAGCCATACAGATG